TCACTATAGTAGTTATTATAAAGGTATATAGGAATACGATATATATTATATAATTATAAGCTATAGGCTATATATTATAATAGTATACTACTAACTATTATAGTTAGACGTTATACGTTTGGTTCCTGTTATAGGCGTTAGTTAGTAGCTTATGCTGTTCTTTAAAAATATAGCTATAATTCTTTTTTTATTTTTCCTGAATTTCTATTCGTCTAGAACCGGACTAATACTACGCTAATTAATATTAGAGAATGAACCAATTCACTAAACCGGGGATATAAATTAACTATTTAAATTAATTTATTAGTAATGCTAATTACTAGTTATTAATAATATATTATTCTAATAATCTTTAACTAGAAATATAAAGTAGATACTTCCTTATAACCTTATAGTTTAATATATTAAGGTCTTTAAAAATATAATACTCTGATTATTTAAGTCTACCTTTAGTACTTCATTACTCATAAGAGTCTTATTATAAATAGTCTTTTAGATATACTATATATTATATAAAGACTATAAATATAAACTTTATTATTACTCTTAGACTTAGTATTTATCTAATAACTTACTTATATAATAATATAAACTAATATATAGAAAACGTGATATATTAAGATATATAATAGCTAGTATACGACTTTATAATAGTAAATATAGTATATTATTATATATATTAGGCTATAAAATACCTTTTATGCCTTATATAATACGAATAAAATAATAACGAAAATATAATACTATAAAAGCAAAATATACTAATAATAGTTATTAATTTCCCTTATTTTTATACTTCTATTTTATATACTTTTACTTATATATATATATATATATATATATATATATATATTATTAGTAACACTTATATAGTAAATTTATACTTTTATATATATAGTACTTACTAGTCTTCCTTTAAGTAAAATATAATTACCCTTATTATATTTCTCTGCTTATTTAATCTAACTAAGCCTTACTAGAAAGGTTTTCAGTGTCTTCTTGCCTCCTACCTCTCCGTATAGCTCTGTATATAACACCACCAATATACGAGGTAAACGATAGGACCTTAAACCTCTTCGCGAGGAGATCTGCCGCCGCTTCGAAGAGGGCTTTTCCGACGACTTTATTTACGACTATATACGATAGTAAATAGAAATAACGATTAGCCGTACCTTACTATAGCACCGGTATAAGGCCTAGGGCCTCTCGCGCTAAACACATATAGTTATATTAACGGATCTTATTCAACGCGTATATAAGCTTTTTTACGATAACCTCGATAATACCGAACTACTACAATAGCTATAGACCGAGGGCTTCCGGATATCGAAGTTCGGACTCGAAGGTATTCGAAAAAGTAATAAGTTATAGCAACGGCAGGATACGCCACGGATTAAGGAGGTAAAAGCAAAAGCCAAAGAGTTCTTCGAGGGTAATAATCCTGATATATCCTTTACGCGGGGGCTTAGTGCTATATAGCTCTATATATTTATACGGTAGAAGGGCTTTATAATTAGCCGCGATACTCTTTACCGTATCTTCTTAGAACTATTCCTAGAAGAGGTTACGGCCCGTATAAAGGAGATACGGTACCGTAGAAAGGGCTAGATAACGCCCGGGCCGAATTTTATTCGGTCTATTAATACGTACGATAAGCTACTTCCCTTCGGCTTCGAGATCTACGCCGGTATTAATGCCTACGCCCGATTTATAACTTAGTTCTACGTTAGAGTATCGGCGTATACTGCTAGGAATATCCTTACGCAGTATATCCATATTATACGTTAGACTGGATTTCTCCCGCGGTTTATTCGGTCAGATCAGGGCAAAGAGATAATACTCTTAGCCGGCGTATACTAGTATATATCTGTATAGTCGTGTATAAAGAAGAACATAGCCGGCGAGGATATTCCGATTAAGTTTAAAGACTACTGGATATTTAGGAAGAGTATCTATAATTAACGTATCGAGGTATAGTGGAATAGACTCTATTAGTCCTATTCGGTATATTAAAGGGTAAGTAATTATTATACTACTACTTGATTAGTATTATATTCCTTTACTAATATATATCCAGGAGTATTTTATTTACCTCTCCGAAAACGGCCTTTTCGATAACCGTTCGATTACCGACCGTATTACGCTGCTTTATATATATATACCACTTATACGTACCGACTTTACACGATTTATACGGGTCTATAATAGCTACCGTATCCGCGTATAGCGTTCTCGGCCGTATATTATCACTAGTAAGCCTTAGGTACTTTACTACTAGGCTACACAGGACTTCCGAGTATAGCCGGATCCTATACGGCTTCGTATACTAGAAAACGCCCTTATAGAAGATCTTTAATAGCTTAATACATATCTGCCTACAGATATTATAGCAGTATACTTAGCGCTTAAGTCCACCGCGGGTAGCCTCTAAGAGATACTAACTATAAACGGTAAAGAGTATCCTGCGCTTCCTCTATATAGTTATATACGTAATAGTCTAAATACGTACGTGGCCGCGAAGACCGAACCCTAGCTTTTATTATTATCCGCGCCTTATAGTGGTATCGCGGCTATAAAGGACCTACTCGAAAAGGAGGGCTTAGATATAGAATAGTCTATAACAGGAACTAATAAGACTAATTTAGCCTTTTCGGATATAAAAAGCGAGGGTAGTAATTAATTCTAATCTAAGGAATTAATTCTAATCTAAGGCTCCGTGTCGGAAGTTATTAAAAATATACGCTTCCGGCCGCGAAGATCTATTATTAATAGTGGCACCTTATTTTTACCCGCCTCCTATTCCTCTATACCGTATTCCTCCATACCGTGATCCTCCTCTTCTATATAAGCCTACGCGTAGGTATCCGGTACTATCTCAGTCTTAACCACCTACGGCTCGGTCTTAACCTACGGTTCGGTCTTTACCGTTACCTTTACGGCTTATTTCCCTTTCCCCTTTCCGGTCTGCTTTTTCGCACGGGTCCCCTTTCCGACTTCCTTCTTTATAGCGATCGGCACCTCCTCGTCGTCGTTATTTCCTTTTATATTATTCCGTTTACCTAAGGTTAGCTTTACCGGGGCGGGTACCTTAGTCTTTCGGAGGAAGGTAAGATAATATTCCTTTATAAAACCGAGACTAGATTCGCGTAGAAATGCACGGGGCGTTATAGTGTTATACGCCTTATTACGGAAGAAGATAACGGTTTTCGGGTTCTTCTAATCGTATAGAAAGACCGTAAGGTCCTGGTTAAACTAGTATTTATCGGATATAAACTGGCTTATAAGGTAGCGTATAAAGTCTTAGTGGTTCGGAAAAGTCTAGTCTAGTATAATCGAAACACGGCCGGTAATTTTTTATCCTCTAATCTTTATAAACTTTAAGATATCTATACCACCGATATCTTAAACGTAGTACTCGCCGCTATATAGGCTAATACTAATCTCCTTTATAGCCTACGGCTGCTTTTCTTTCCGTGTTAATTAGATACTAGCCCTACGCTACGCCTCGCCGGTTCGAAACGCAGTTAAAAGCACTCTGCCCTATACCTACGCCTACGCGACGGCGCCGGGTGTATAAAGCGCCTTCGGTTCCGTATCTTCGCGCTTTAAGCGGGGAGGAGTGTCTGCGGTTAAGTCGATAACCGTGTTATCGTCGTTAATAGGAGGTGTTGATTCGTTCTTAAGGAGTATAGACTCGAACCGGCCTATACCGTATTTAGCGTATACTGACTAATCGGGATTAGTATCGAAAAGAATAGTATAATAGACCTTAACGTCAGGGCAAACAAGCATAGTTAGGAGCGTTATTATACAGACTATTATATAACCGTTAGCGTAGATGCCTCTTCTAAATAGGCCCTGCGATAGTTATACGGATATATACAGCGCTATATAGATATGGATTCCTCTTCTAAATAGACACTACGATAGTTATGTGGATATATACAGGGCTATACAGATCAGGTTTTTATATGTGTGCCCTATGACCCTGCTTAATTACATCTGCACACGCCTATATACAAATCGTACTACTAGGTAGAAGACTTCTACGGCCCGGGTGAACCTATTAATCGATTATTACTATTTTTAGAAGTTGAAACAGACCGTCCTGCAGCTTGCTGTAGCTGCCCCTCTCTGTGGTATCACAGGTACCGTATTAACCCCTGTCCCCCTATACACGTGTAGTTATTTCCAATCAAACCAATATATAGCTAATTTTTATAAGGCAGGTTATATACTGATACGCATATATATTAAGGAAATTTTCCGTCTTTCTTGTAATTTTGCTGATATAGATATTAAGATTTTATAGGGGAGCTACTTGTTACTAGATACCTATAGAGAAAAGCGCCGTTGGTGAACAACGCGGGTTAATACGGTAGGACCGACTTGGTATAATAGCTACCTTTGCGTATTATGATCCACGGTCCTTTATTACTCATCATCATCACTACCTACTCCATTCTACTAAGACCGAACACTCGTTCACCTTTTCTTCATCTTCTTTTCCTTCTTCTTTCTTCTTAATTTATACATAAGTAAAGTACGAATGTGTATTAAGTGTCATGGTAGTAGTCTATGGAATGACGCTAGTTGGTATCCACAGATGCGTAAATATGCTTCCTGTGTAGCGTGTCGTTGGTCCAACATAAATACTGGTCGGCCCCAGGTCAAAGCCCCCGTCCATGCCAATCGGTTCTCCAGAGCTAGGGCCGGTTCGCCGTACTCCCTACCTAGCTCAAGCGTAACGGTGGCTCGGTCGCGTTGTCGTCATGGTCATCGTCTGTTGTTCTGATCCTCCAGCCCTCCCCCCTCCTGATTGGCTGGTGTGGTCAGGAACCAATTCTCCTCACCCCTGACCCCTCACCCCTCACCCCTTCCCTCTCGTCATGGCCACCAGTTCATCTTCTTGTAACTCTCAATGACCTCTTCCAACAACTCCTTGCTCATCGCCGGCTTCTCATACTGGAACCCCACCACCTGTTCCAGGCGTGACCCATCCATGCTCAGGTCCGTATCTTTGATCAGCTCCTTCTCCAAGAAGGGGGTCAACGGGCCGGGCCGCGAGATTCCCGCCTTCTCCAACAGCTCCGCCCAGGGACCCAGCAACTCATCATTGACGTCGTCCACCACGCTGTCCAGACTAAGCCGTGCGAAAGTACTGATCAGCTGTCCTTGGAAGCCCGTGTCGATGTTAAACAATTCCCCGATGATGTCCGCCATGGTCCCCTGCGTCGTCGTCCCCTTGTCCACCACGTTGAATGTCGGCGCTCCCAAGCTGGAGTCCCACGACGTCTTGCCACCCTCGGTGTCATACCACCGCGCCACAGCCCACAGCGCCCGCGTCACGTCGTGGATGTGCGCCGTGTTGGTCCGCAATTCCCTAGTCCATAACCACTTCATCTCCTGTTCTAGGTACTGGTAGACACGGGCCATGCACAGCGCCGTCGCTACCCATTGAGACGCGTACGGGCCGTACACGTGTGCGAGACGCACGATGATGAGACTCAGTCTTTTTGCAACATCCATGTTAGTCTGAGAAATACCCAGAAAGGAATGGGGTGATCAGAAATCAGGAGAGAAAGGGCAGAATGGACGGGAGAAGAGGAAGTACAAAAGAAAAGGGGAAAAGAAAAGAGGGCACTCGTGTCCTCTCGCGGCTTACCCTTCGATCTTGGCCAGTTCTTCTTCGGCCTGCAGTTTGTAGACAGCGATTTTGCTCCACGGTTTCAGCTTATCACCCTCCTTGCTGGGCGACGAGTCGGACTTGTACACCATGCCCGTGCTGAGCTCGACGAACGCCTTGACCTTGCGCTTGGCCGCCTCCTTGGCCACCGCCACGGATAGTCCTAGCGAGCGCAGTTTGTATACCTCGTCCTCCTGAGAGTACCGCGTTTCGCCGCCGCAGTTGAAGACGTAATCCCACTGCTTTCCATCACTCCGGTCGAAGATGCGCGATAGTGATTCTATTTCAAAACGTCACTGTCAGCGCACGCGTCGCAGCCGGGACCGGAATGAGTACGCGAACCAAAAAAAAAAAAAAAAAAGGGGGGGGGGGGAAAGGGGGGAAAAAAGGAGTACAGGGTTGATTGACGCCGCTGGCTGGCGAGCTTGCCATGTCAAAACATGCAAAGAAAAAGGAAAACGACACGTACGTTCTCTACTGGCGTCGGCCTGTATAAACTTGGAACCTGCGCAGGCCTCCTCGAACTCCGGGGCGAGCCATGCCAACTGAGGCAGAGCCTTGTCAACAATCCTGACCTCGGACGCGAGATCATTCTCGTGAATGTGGAGAGCGAGGAACCGGCCAATGTAGCCGAGCCCTCCGATGATGAGGACCGAGGGCTTTTCCGCCATGGTTGTGTGCAGCGACGTCGTCTCGAGTTGTCGGGCCAAGTCAAAGTTACTGCCCTACAGAGGGGATGGTCGTATAAAGTCGTCTGCAGCGTGGGGCGAAAAGATGTGTCGGTTCGGGTCCTCGCTGCTTCGTCTCGTCGTCTCGGTGCAGGTTGAGCCTGGAGAATCTAGAAGGGGGTGGTGTTAATGCGGATGCAAGAAAATGGACGTTCGCAGTCTTTCCCTCTCGGGGTTCGACTGTCGAACGATAGCGCGGGGTCCTCGACATATCGGAATACCTAATGAGCCAGGGAGGGGAAATGTCTCTCGTTTGCCGGTAAAGTACCACAAGTGGGTGGAGGGCAGTGTCGCCAGGAGAAGAAACCGGTCTTTTGAGTCCAAGGATTGGGCAGTGGGCTGCAGCTCGCAGAGGGGAGATCAGACCAAAGGGGGGCGGGGGCCGGGCCCAACGATGCAAGTGCAGTAATCCGTACCCGCAGTCAGATGGTGAATTGGCCGAGGTGGAATGAACAAGAGCAGGTATTCTATTCGTAAAAAAAGAAGACGAACGATGTCGGTGTTGGGGGTAATCGTTGTGGAAGTTAGGAGGAAAAGGTTCTCAGGAAGAGGAATAGAAATACTTACGCTACACAAGGCACCCTGGTCCTATACTGATCAAGGAAGAGGAGACAGAAGCCAACGGAAAAGGGAGGAGGTGATCATCAGGTTAAGGTAGGAAGGGGTACGGAGGTCGTGAGGGGAGAAAAGGGGGGTTGTGGGTTTTGGGGGGCCGCTTGATTACAGCACTAATTAATTACAGAACGTACCTGATCGCACCTAAAAATGCAGTTGCAGGGGGGGCTCGGACAGGGGTGGAGGCGGAGGCGGGGGCATGGAGGGGGGAGAAAATGCAGAATGTGTCACAGGTAGGTCACAGGAAAGGGGCATCAATATTTCGTCGAAAGCGGTTTGACGCAAGGTATTATATGTATCACGTGATGGAGAAGATTTGGCTTCTACTTCGTGTCAAGTGCTGAAAGGACAAAAACATTGCCAGGAAAAATAAGGTAGTATTCTACAGCACTATCGCCCCTTTTCCTTTCCAGGCACTAGGATTGGGTCCCGTATCCGTAGCTCTGGGGATCTGCTAGCTACGATCCCGAGATACTTCGCCGAATAATGTTCTCCTCGGGTCCCAAGATCCTAGCGCAAGTTTGTTAAAGTCGAGCTCCCAACACCATGTCAAGCGGTTATTCTTGGAGCTCCAGTTGTTTCCGACCGACTTTAGCGCTGCTCGCTTAGGTGAGCCGGGGCAGAAACACCTACCTGGCCGACGTCATGACGGGAGTTTACAGAGCGCCTGAGATTCTTCTTGGGTAGTTATAGGATACGACTCCAAGGAGGGCCAGTCTGTTTGGGATCACACCGCCTCGGTAGGTACTCCGTAGAGCGGCGCTCGAATCTCAACTCCTACGCTTCTGACTCTTTGACCCGACTAGGTAACCACTAACATGTCCAGATGCTTTGACGCCACTCTCACTTCGTCGCGTGGCCTGCCACGAGGAGCTATTACCTACATTGTACGTTGTACAGTCTATCGTGCTTGGTAATCGATGAGACATCAATTTTGCACAGCGCGAGCTTGGACTGGATGCAGGTCTTCTCCAGACGATGTGGGGGAGTTCTTGCGCGCTTGAACCCCCCGTCAGTCTAGGGGTCTCAACCGCCAAGTCCCGCGTCCTCGGAGATAGTGGGGCCGACCATTGCCATCGCGTCCTCGACTTAACCTGTCGGGTAGAAGGTGAGAGTAGACGAGTGGTCCTCGTGCTGCACACCTAATCTCCTTTGGGATACCTCGGAGGGTCCGTCTCAAGACTCTCAGCTCATCGGATCGAGCGTTGTCTATGGATCTCGATGAACGCCCATCGGCAACGTACGATGGAACCAAGTAAGATGGTACGGGTCCCATCGTCACCCGTAGCGTGACAGGGGCAAAGCATACCGTATTTTCAGTCGTCCCGCATCGCGCCAATTCACCCCTCCGCCGACGTTGGCCCTCTTCATCCTCAATGGGTATTCTCCCCCGAGTACATGCCATATCCGAAGTCACCAATCCAAGGGAAACTCTGCCGCGCCGCACACAGTTACAGAATCTGGGCCCCGAAGCAAGAAGGCGACTGGACTGGCCCAGCATGCGGACGTATTTGCCTTCTCCTGGAACTATAGGCTTGTCTGTGCCTATTTTGGACGATTACTCCTCTCCCACCTTCATATGGCAGACCATGCTGGCCCTTCTTGGTCTGCGTCGGCCATCCCTGACTTGTTCGGATCAAGCAGCACGGAGAGAAGTTGGCGACAAAGTGTGTGTACGCAACGGATATGGAAGAAAGATCCATCCCCTGCTCGTGACCGAGTCGCTTGAGTAGGTCTCGCTCGAAAGCACACAGAATCAAGCGGGCCGGCCAACAATGCATGTCTTGTCTCTCTTTGCTTTGCATGGGGAAATAAAAGAATCTGCGTAAAAAAATACAATAAAAAATAAAAATAAAAAAGGGAACCAGACGTCCCCTCTCACCTCCGCATGCTGCCAATAATCTCTCGCTGTGCTTCCCTGTCCCTGCCCGCTTCGCTCAGGCTTCCGACGCTGCGCAAATCGCCCACGACATCCTTGGCCTTGCCAAAGTACACCTCCTGCAGCAGGTTCCTCATCTTGAGCTCCATGTCTTCGACGAGCCTGCCGATGTTGATAATGTGGCTCTCGTCCCCATCCACGGGAAGCTCCTGTTCAATCTGCCGCGTCATGTTGCCACTGAGGTCCATTTCGCCCAGGGCCGTACCGCTCGACGATAGGTTGAGGATCACTGTCGAGGTGAGCTTGTACTGCGTGGACCGGCCGCGTTCAATGGCCTCGAAGACATGGATCGAGTCCCATACACCTTCCGAGGTGCTTCCGGGGTTCGACACTGTAGTCCGTCTCGTCAGCTCCCGCTCGGTTTGACCGTAGATATTCCAAACAAACAAAACGAAGCAGCCATGAAGAAGTGAGATACAACTAGTAGGCTTCTGGCCATAAAAAAGAGAAAGAAGGGAAAAGCGGGGGGGGGATAAAGAAGATAAGAAAAGGGGGCACAGGCACTTGGTTACGTACGCTTCTTCAACAGGACAACTCCAGCGAACCCATCGTCGAGATTCCAAAAATAGACGCTGCTGACACCCCCCTCGTAGTAAAGGTCGCGATATACGTCAAAGGCTTCGTTGGCCTTGATCTCCATCTTACGGACCCGCTCCGAAGGGACAGCCCCTTCGCCGGCCCCGTCGTTCCCAGCGCCTGAGACGCCGCCCAGACCAGCCTCGTCTAGCGGCGGGTCGAATTCATTGCTCCAGGGAGAGCGGTAGCTGTCGCCGTCGCGATTGTAATCGCAGAGAAGGTAGTCTCGACCTGACTGGCGGCAGCCGCGCACTCCGAGGGGTTGGTCGACGGAGGAGAGGAGGTCCTCGGTCAGGTCTGGAGCGAGGGAGATGATGGAATTCAGGTGCGAAGTGGTGTGTTTCGGATTGAGGCGCCGGAGGAGGTCACTAGACGGTCACTGAAGTTAGCCATCGTCCCGGAATGTTTGTGCAATGGGTGATACAGTGGATGATACCGTGGTAATGAGGTCGGCGGACGGCACTTTGCGTAAAGCAATTTGGGGGGAGGGGATGGAGGCTTACAGCGCCGCATCAAATGGGTCAGCGGTTGCCATTTTTGACAGGGGCGACAGTCTATTATGTAGGAACGGGCCGGCGGGTAGACGCTTGTTTGAGGGCCGGAGGGGTATCTTCTCGGTCGTTTTGATAGTCTCACGGCGAGGCTGTCTTGTAAGGTAGGCGTCCAGGAGGAGGCTGATCGGCTGGAAGTGTACTTGTACCCAAGAAGGTCGAAGCTACGGAGTAGAGAGGAGCGGGGCCCACTCTAATTCGAAAGTACTCCGTATACGAACTCTCCCCAGGTACCGATACGCTAGGTACCTACCCGGGTTTGGGGGGGTATAGGACAGAGCCCGATAACTGGTCAATCTGTCAACAGTCTTAGAACATCATGTCGACAGAAATTTCTCTGTCCTGGCTCTGGTCAGAGCAAAAGTCTCTGTCCGAGCTCTGACCTAGAAACCCCCCCTCCCGGGTAGGTACCTAAGCTAGCGGGGTAGAACGGCGAGCCCACCAGAGCTCTAGGTACCTAAAGAAGCACACCCAACTCGACCTCTGTCTACATCGCCCAGAGCATCACATCTTGAACCGTCCTCCTTGTAATGCTTCAAAACACACAACTCGACAAGAAGACTCCGCCTTGTGAATGTAGAGTCACCATCACTTCCAGAACATCATGTCATTCATTCCAATACGTCCAATATCTCGAGAAGAACAGGCCGTCGCAACATGGCTGATCAACATTGGTATTGCACAAAGATGCTCGGCCTCCTCATCGCCTCGTCTTTCGAGGCCCCTTGTTTGATAGACAGCTGCTTCCTCTCCGCTGGCACCCCGGCTCCAGAGCAGCTGCTTCTTCTCACATACAACCCAATAAATGGATTCTACTCCAAAAAGGCAAACTCTCCTGACAAGCAACCTGCTCCCAATGTACTCCAACAAGCTTTCTAGAACGCCGCGAAAACCCCAGAAGCGGTATCGGCCGTGGCATGCCATGCGCATAGAACATCTTGCCCCTTTCCCTAGAGCCCAGACGGTCGGTCGTCTTGCGGCAGCGACAATACCCAGTCATAATAGCCCACCGTACCGCCTCTTTCATAATAATTACAAGCTGACGGAGAACTGACATACGGACTGTACACTGTACCCGCAAGTCCTGCTATCGTCCATGTCGACTGGTCACCCCTTGCCGTGTCAACTGATCATCGCGCCACACACCAGGCAGGCCAATGGCTCAGTCCACGTCTTCTCGCCGCCCTTGACATTTTCCCGGAGATCACGAATCTCCACTACCGACGGACTCTCGGCCAGTTTTAGCGCAACCTCAAAGAGGCCCTCGTATGGCTTGGAGCTGGCATCCATCTTCTTCTTCTTCCCTTGCGGCTTTCTCCCCGTTTTCGAAGCCGCGGTAATCGACTTGTCGACAGATACAGCCTCCCCTCGACTATTCTTCGCTGTTCCCGCAGTGGGAGGATATTGCGATGACGGCTCGGCCGTGATGCCATTGTCGGAATCGTTGCCCATCTTCGCATCTATCGACTGCTGGACCTCGGACCCGTTGTCCGGTGGGCTCAGTGGCCTACCTGCCGCCTTATCACTACTGTCTGCAACACTGTTCTCCGTGTTCTCCGTGACTGGCTTCTGATATGGCTTATCCCTGCCTAAAGATTCATAGGTCCTCATGAGTACATCGTGCTTGAGACACTCTTCGTGGAGCCAGGTGCTGCACTTGGGATCCGAGCAGGCAATGAGGGTTTTGTCGGGATTCGCAGGCTGATCGCATTTGCAAGTTCGTTGAATCGACTGTCTCATAGTTAGCGCGAAGCGGAAACACAAGAAAATAGGAAAGAACTTCTCACCGAAAGCTGCATGCTTCTGATGTCAAAGGCCTGTCTCCAATATAGTGCATCTTGGACCTCCTCATCGTTCTCCTCGAACCATTGCTTGACCTTGGCCTCCTGCGTTACGCTCACCACATTGATTACATCCACTATCCCGAATTAGCTGCTCGTACTTTGTTTCCCCCGGTCCTTTCTTTTGTTTCTCTAAGATTACGATGTGAGGGTAGAGGCAGGCATACTGTGATTTGATGCAATTAATTCATTGTGTCCGTGATATGGCTGGCGACCTGACACATATTTGTTGCCATCCTTTGTTCCGACCGGAATCTCCTCGGGCCAGTACATCCAGTAAACCCGAGCATATACGTGATGTTCATCGGCGGCGCGGATTTCCAGGATGCGGGCCACCCACTCGTCAGGTTGTCTCCGCAAGCCCGAGCCATTTTGGAGCGGTTCCTTAGGCGCTATGGTCGAGTCGTTGGCAACGTAGATGAATCCTTCGCTGAAATACTTCGCCTGGTTCACTAATGAGGAGAGAGGTCGCCCTCTACGTCAGTGCGCCGTACAGGACGGAAAGAGAAAGGGATGGGAAAGAGAAGAGATGCGCGGCCTTCTCTCGGCAACGTACGGACGAAGCTGTTGTAGCGCGTCATGCCCATCCACTTATCCCGGGGCTCCACCCTATAGTGTAGGTCCAAAGTCTCGTCGTTCTTGAACTTGCCCGAGGGCGTAAAGGGCGAATTCTGAACTTTGGCAATGTCCTCTTCCTCCGGCTCTGACTGTTTTCTTCTCTTCTTGCCTTTCTGACCCTTGGACTTGTCCTCGGGAGACACGTACATGATGGTGAAGGGACATTCAGCCCTGCCATCGTCGACCGATGGCTCCGTACGGCTTCGCTTCCGAGAGCTGGTGGACATGGTTGGCGGCTGACAGCGACTTGGGAGGAAGGGGCGTCGCGTTTCGTACTGGGGATGCAGGCGAATTGAGACGACGCGGGATTTTGCGATGGCCGGCCTGCAATGGGTTCTGGTCAAGTTTCAATCGTCGTGACCTCCCTCACCAATGTGAAAACCAAGGCGTCGCAAACCGGATGCTGGAACGGATGGGTGCCGAGTCGTTGCCGCTTTGGACTGCAAGTCAATGACCGGGGGTTTCGTTCGTCAGGATCGTCGCTGCGCAGCCCGACAGGCAGGTAGGGACTCCAGAGAACAAAGTCCCCTGGGTTCTAGTCGATGCGCCTCGTGGTATGGATGCGTACTTGCGTGCGTGGAGAGCTAGGATGATGGCGCTTATGAAAATGCTGCTGTGATCGCAATTGCTCTCAAAGACACCGAAAAGGAAAAAGTGATGGCGAAGTAATCATGAAACAGACACAAGGGTGAAGTCGCAAAATGACGATAAGGACAGGGGAAGAATGTTGAGCTGGCGATATTACTTGCCGGCAAAATACTCGCCGATACGCCCGAGAGAAGGCTTCGAGTACGGTAACTCCAAAGGGAGAGGGGAAAAGTAGGTCAAGGCAGTCAAGTCCCCAGTCGCCTTTGACCGGTCTGTGCTCACCCGCCACCCTAAAAAACGATTGGACACCGTTACACGTATCTCTCCAATCACGTGCATTTATCTCCGGTCAGTCTGGCCAATAGTACAACACGCTCGTTCGTCAATCCAACCCCTCACGGAGTACAAGGACAAAAAGTCACGCAACGAAGGGAGCAGAGAGTGAGAATCTCCCTTTCGTATATATCGGCCTTAAAATTCTATCGAGCGCAAAATACTACTGCCCTGCTGCTAGTGCCGAGGACGACAAGATATACCTCTTCTTTATGAACGGCAGAGTTAATATTAGATGTGGCAAGAAGATTATACGATGATACATCGATAAATCCCTGATGAAACTGACCGCATAGTATCCATGCAGTTGGAATGCACAAGACGCCATCGCTATGCCAAAGAGAAAGGAAAGACTAAAAAACAGGAATGGCCCACACAAAGGAAAGCGACCCAATATATCGTCGAGACCTAATGATGCCTACGGTGCACCTCACGCTCGTCGTCGTCGTCGTATGCGCTCAGAATGGGACGGTCCTCGCTCCCACTATCCACCTCACCTTCCGCTTCGCCATCAAGAGGACTTTCGAAGCCCTCGATCGTCCTCGCCAGTTTCTCGCCCTCCCGCTTTCCACGGTCCACGTTGACAAACCAGATCAACGGAGCCGGGAAGCCTACTAGACAGGCCAGGAACCAGAATGCTGGCCGGATGCCGCCAGACTTGTCAATGATGACGCCCACTATGGCGGGGCCAAACACGCTGGATCCCTTGTCGGTGATGGCGTACAAGGCGTAGAAGGCCGCCTCAGATCCTGGAGGGATGAGCTCGCCATAGATCGAACGACAATAGCCGCTCAGCCCTCCCAGGACGAAGCCGTAAACGGCAGCCAGCGGATACATCTCCCACGGCTGCTGCAGCCCGAAAACGCCCCACTCTTTTACGAAGGGTAGGTAGCCAATGAGCCCGTAGAGGGGGATCAGCTCGAAGAGGGCAATGCAGACGAGGATGGTCTGGTGCGGTTGAAGTCCGAAGCGGCGCGAGATGAATGCCCAGCCGAATGCCCCGACTACGCCGGCCATCGTCGAGGTGACGTTGATCATGCCCAAAGCCCACGGCTTCATGTGGAGCTGTGTCTTGGCGAAGAGGATGGCCGTCGACGAGGTGGTGGCGATGGCATCCGAGAGGAGGAACCAGGCGGCCAGGAAGAGAACGATGTCCACCAAGCGGCGGGCGAGCCGAATGGTCTTGAACAGTGACTTCCACGAGTAGACGACATAGCCCAACCAGGTCCACCACCCCTTGAAGCCACCCGCCACCACGGCAGAAAGGGGAGGTCCCGGTCGAGGTCTCAGCCACGCAGCAGCGGGGATGGTGAAGACCGCCCACCAGGTACCGACGACGAAAAGCACGACCCGCAGGGCCCAGGTCGAGTTGCCCAGAGCAATCAAAATGCCAATGCCGACACACTGTAGAAACAGAGCTGCGCAGTATCCGATTCCAATGCCCTTCGAAGACAACTGGGTCGACAGGTTCAATTCAATCGAGGTGAGTTCCTCATGAGTTGTGCTGCGCGTAAGACGGTTGGCATCCCAGTCACGGGCTCCGGAAGATAGGAGTCCTGATGTCGAGTTTGTCATGTCCCCCACAACCGATTCCGAGTCCCGGGGTACACCATCTTCTTCAGGCTCGCGAGACTCGAGGTCGGTATCCACAATACCAGCGTCCAGTGCTTGGACTATTTGTGCGGAAGCCTGAGTCTCGGGGTGATAGCGAACCAGGAGCGGCAGGAAGGAATTGAGGAGTACGAACGACGCCCCAAAGGAGGTATTCGAAACAATGGCCAAAAGGGCCCCAAGGACATAGGTCTCCTTGGTGACGAAGATGTATAACATGACAGCCAAGCTGCCGGTCCAGGCAAAGCCGAGGAGGAGCTTCTTGCGGTAGTTTCCATGATCGGCGGCGCAGCTGATGCTCACCACCAAGAGGGCCTGGATGAGAACGCTGATGGAAAAGGTGTACATGGCGAAGCTGGCCGTGTTGATTTCAACGCCCAGGATGTAGACAATGCACTGCCCATCCGCATCACTTTTGGAATCGCTCGTGCCACATGGTGTCGTTCGGTCGGACGCGAGAACACCGTTCTCCCGCGCGAGTGTCTCTAGAAGAATCGGAATGAAGGAGCCTGTAAGATGGTAGTGTCAGTACGTCATCGGCTCGGCACCGATGGTTTAGTATGCAAAGATGGGTGGGGAGGATGATCGCGTCGTCGTTTTTTGATCGTGAGAAGTACACAGCGATATGGGTTCGAGGGTGTTCACGGAAGGGAGGGATCACTGGCATACCGATTGCTACAAAGAGCGAGTAGGTTTTAGCATGGACTCACAATACTATCATCGATGGAGAACAACCAAGAAAAAGAACTGTGAGGCACCAACTTACCACAAATGACATAGGTCTCGGCGGCAAATGAGTAGGCATACCAGCCAGCAAGCTCCTTTTGAGACGTCGGACGAGTATCTTCGCCTGGATATTTCTCTAGGCCTAATGGCAGAAATGACCTGGGACCAAGCCGGCCGGCATCCCCGTCCAAATCATCGTAGCCATTCATGCCGCCGTACCCGTACCCGCCTCGGCCGGAACGGAGATGGTAGTCGTGGAGGCAGTCGTCGTCGGAACTTGATTGCTCGTCGTCAGCCTCGAATGAGGAACTGAAGGATCGAAAGGATTTGCGGGAGAAGTTAGATATGTGTGACCATAGACGCGGAGCTGGCGACGGGCGGGTGTTGAGGTGACTGTTTGTGCGGTTGGTCGTCGTGTTGTAGTTGTGGTACGTGGAGTTGTTCCCGTCATGGTCCTCGTCACGCGGAGGCACCATGCTGAGCAACCTGGGCGGAAAGCTTGGGCACAATGGGAACGGCCGCGGATTCCGAGGGTGGGTACCGCGGTACCTAAATACCCAGCAAAAATAGGCAGAGTGTCGTTGTACCCGATACGAGGCCCCACCAGACGCGGTCTTCAGGGGTGCTCAGGCGGCCCCCCGCCCCACTGGGAGCGGATGGCTGGCTCCTACGTAGGTAGGTGGTCTGTGCCTCGGGTGGTTCGTCTCTGCGTCTCTGCGCCCTGGGCGGCTGGCCCGGGGGGGCAGGTTTAGGCGTTATCGGGGAGAAAATTCCCTGCTCACCCCTGAACTTTATTTAGCGTCGTCCAGTGTGTGGTTCCTCCACAACATTCAGGTGTCTTTGTGCTTTCCCGTCCATGAATCCATTCCATGAACCGGTGATCCTTGCTTCTGACACCCAACCAAACCAACAGTTTGAATTAACAAGCGGACCGAGCCGTTTTGCCTTGTCCTCGAAACAAACACTGGAGGGATCGTATCAGTGGAACACGAGATTTTGGCACGGAAGCCACTTTAGAGTCGAGGCGAAGTAGTGGCCCATGAGCTGGATCCCATCGCTTGGGAATGAGAGTAGGGGAACAAGGGACGGGGGACGGGGGACGGCAAATCTCAGGCAGAAGAAGAATTGGGAGGGATGGGCGGGAGGACGGGGAGACAGAGAGGATGGTTTCACGGACCGTCGAGAGGATGCCGCAGGAACGACTTTAACAGGAAATAGAGCGAAATGGGTGTGGTGGAAGTCATGGGTTTAAAGATGCGTCGAGTCGCCGGACATGCACCTCGTTGGCCCCTCCTCTTCCCTCATTCTTCATTTAGCTATTCCCGTTCGGGCTCATATCTAGCTCTATCGAGACCAGCCATGTCCATCATGCCATGATGGGCTGGCTGCTTGTGTGACCAATTCCTGCTTCGTCGACTTGGCTTGGGTAGCATTTGCCCACCACAGCAAAGTAACGTACTGGAATAGTATGCAGCTAGTGTGCGTGGCCTGCGTCATGCGTGCCTTGGTATGGCGCGTCGGCATCTCTGCTCCCCGTTCGTGAGTTGAGGCTTCTTCCTCGTCCGAAGCTGACTCGAGGATCACAAGGGAAATCCGATACCGACCGTCTCCCCCCGCAACATGATCGCCTATAGGTTGGCAAGGGTTCGATCTGCTGCCAGAACAAGGCGGCTGCGGCGGCGACTCCAGCCTTGGCTGGACTGCCCAACGAAGCGTGCGGTGGACTGGATCTCTGGCGGCGGTTGAATCAAGATCGACCAACAGTCGGCTAATACAATGGTCATCCAATGGTTGGTTCCTGTGCATCAGTGTTGTAAGATTCGTCCGACATTCTCGACTAAGGTACCTTAAGGTAACATGCATATGTAGACAAGGCTTATTAATCCGGCCTGCAGTTAGCCTCTGAGCGGGGAAACCCATAGCTACTCATCGTGATAGCTTCAAGAAGGGAATGACATGAAAACCCCGAGACCATCACCACCGCACATAGAATTTATATCCGTTAACACAAGGGGCATGTTTGGCTTTACAACGTAACCTTTCGCCACAACGTAAATCCGAACTGCCCGCAGACAGTACGCCGACAGAGAAGAGACACATTACCATGGCTTCCACAGCGCCTCGAATCCACCTGGTTGACAAGTCCGACTACACCAAGCAGAAAGTCGTGCCCCTTCCAGACGCATACCCTCTCCCACCCCTACAGAAAGGCTTTATCCGCATCCGCAGTCGGATTCTGTCCCTCACCACCAACAACTTTTCCTACGCGCGATTCGGCGAAGAGCTGGGCTGGTATAGCGTCTGGCCGACCCTTCCCTCCCTCTCCGCACCGTATAACGACGCAACCAAGTACGGCCGTATCTCGTCCTGGGGCTACGGCGAGGCCATCGAGAGCGCCCACGATGATGTCCCTGTCGGCACGAAGCTGTTCGGCTACCTGCCCATCGGCACACTTCCCGAGGACCTGCAAGTGAAGCCCATGGAGGCACCCGGACACCTGCTGGAGGTGAGCGAGAGACGGACGGCCCGCGTCATGCCGTTCTACAACCGCTACGTGTGCTACCCTCCCGACGTGGACCTATCGGCCGAGCGGGGCGCCCGGGGCTTGGAAGCGCTGCTCCGACCGCTGTTCGAGGCGGGCTACCTGCTGAACCGGTACACTTTCGCGGGACCCGAGAGAAAGCCGTTACATCCCCTAGGCCACGGCCTTCCGTGGACTGCCCAGCAAGCAGACATCAGCGATGCGGTGCTCGTGCTGCTTGGGGCGTCCGGCAAAACGAGCCTCTCGCTCGCAGACCAGCTTCGGCACGCGCGAACCGGAGAGGCTTTTCCCCGCAAAGTGGTTGCGGTGGGGTCGGAGGCGTCCCGCGGGTTTACCCAGCGCACGGGCCTCTTCGACGAGGTACTTCTCTACGACGACGTCGACAAGACGAACCTCGCCGCCGTCCTAGCGCTCGACAAGGCGACCAAGGTCGTGCTTCTTAATTTCGCTGGGCGAGGCGATGCGCCTGATCGATGGGCTTCCAGGTTGCGTGAACCCGGCGGCCCATTTACGGGGCTTTCGGTCGGCGGAGATCCCACTAATACAGCCCCCGGCAACTTCAACGCGGAAGTGGACAAGGAGGGAAGTGGCGTCTACATGGTGTCTGCCCCTACCTTGCGGGACGATGCCATTCTGGCGGAAGGTGAAGCGAAATACTTCGAGTTCCTGGATGAGGCGTGGACGCGATTTATTGATGACAGAGGTGGTCTGCACGGAGTAAGCTTGATGTGGCGCCAGGATATCGGAGCCTTCGAGTCAGACTGGGATGGGTTATGCAAAGGAAAAGGTCAATATGGCCCCGACATCGGCTTGGTATACGAAATTTGAGTAGTCGTAGAAGATAGGCATAATTATAAGATGTCTCAGCTCACGCCATATGTAGACACAATTTTGTTGAAGACGCTCATCGGATCTCAAAGGCAAGCGGTCACACAGTTGAAATGCGGCTTGGTCCTGGAAAGGAAGGACGCAATGAAAAAACGGGGTCCTCGTTGGTTGGTCAATAATGCTAACATGCTAAGAGGCAAATCAGAGGACTTGCTTTTCCGATGACCTCGGAGTGTAAGTTACCTTAGTAGGAGATTGACGTCAATCACGTGGGTATCCCGGTACTCCGAGATACGGACTTCAGATTGCTGGTCCGACATCGGCGTCACTCCCCTCAATGAGGGCACGAAGAAACAAACCATCGTCAAATTCTTAAGGGGAAGCTGCCTCCCTTTCTTTTCTTCTACTTTGTGTGGCCAATTCCGATTTCAAGGCTTCATAATTTCCCACCTTCCTATTCCCCAAAGCGTACTCCTTTACCCCTTAAACTCCCTCCTAACTTGCGCCTTGGTATCCTTTTCACCCCACCGCTGTGTTTCCTTTCCGTTCCGGTTGTGCCTTCGTCCTCAATACCCCCAATATGCCTGGCGCTTTGGCAACCCCGCAGACCCTCTACGACAAGGTCCTGCGTAGCCACGTCGTCGATGAGAAGGAGGATGGCACCGTTCTTCTTTACATTGGTAAGCAGCCCTTCACCCTTCATTGCGGAAGAAACATGCGACAAAGAACGAACCCCAGGCTCACCCCTCTATCTCTTAGATCGCCACCTCGTCCATGAGGTCACATCTCCTGTAAGTCGCAGTACCCGTTAGCGACCGACGTTGCTTCTTGAGAACATGATGGCTGCATCTACCACTAGTGCCCTTGATTCTAACTTTCTGGGCAGCAAGCGTTTGAGGGCCTAAGAAACGCCGGTCGTCAGGTCCGGAGACCTGACTGCACTCTGGCAACAGCCGATCATGTAAGTCTCTCCATTCCAACTTGTTTTCTCTTTTCTTTTTCCCTCTTTCCCTTTGTTTGGTTTACCGATAGACCTTGATGGGCTAATTACGAATGATGACATTCTGCAGAATGTTCCTACATCCCCTCGTTCCGAACTAAAGGACATCGCCAGTTTCATCAAGGATGCCGATTCTCGGACACAGTGCATGACCCTCGAGGATAACGTCCGCGACTTCAAATTGACTTTCTTCGGCTTGAAAGATAAGAGGCAGGGTATTGTCCACATCATTGGACCCGAACAGGGTTTCACCCTTCCAGGAACCACAGTCGTCTGCGGCGACAGCCATACCTCGACCCATGGAGCCTTCGGTGCCCTCGCCTTCGGTATCGGCACCAGTGAGGTCGAGCATGTCCTCGCCACTCAGACCCTGATTACCAGGCGTGGCAAGAACATGAAGATCCAGGTTGATGGCCAGCTCACCCCTGGCGTCAGCAGCAAGGACATCATCCTCCATATTATTGGCCTCATCGGCACGGCCGGAGGTACCGGCTGTGTGATCGAGTTCTGCGGCTCTGCTATTCGCAGTCTCAGCATGGAGGCCAGGATGTCCATCTGCAACATGTCGATCGAGGCAGGCGCCAGGGCGGGTATGATCGCCCCAGATGAGACCACTTTTGAGTACCTCAAGGGCCGCCCTCTTGCCCCCAAGCCCGACAGCGCCGAGTGGAGACGTGCCGTTCAGTATTGGTCCGCTCTCCACACGGATGATGGTGCCAAGTTCGACAAGGAAATCTACATTAATGCCGCCGACATCGCTCCCACCGTCACCTGGGGTACATCCCCTCAGGATGTCGTCCCTATCACCGGCGTTATCCCCGGCCCTGACGACTTCACCGACCCGACCAAGAAGGAGGCTTGCAAGCGCGCCCTGGAGTACATGGGGTTAACCGCCGGAACCCGCGTTCAAGATGTGGTGGTCGACAAGGTATTTATTGGCAGTTGCACAAATGCACGCATCGAGGATTTGCGCGCGGCTGCCAGGATAGTGAAGGGCAACAAGATCGCGCAAAATATCCAGCGCGCCATGATCGTTCCCGGTTCCGGCCTTGTAAAACAGCAGGCCGAGGAAGAGGGTCTCGATAAGATCTTCGTCGACGCTGGTTTCGAGTGGCGCGAGGCAGGGTGTTCGATGTGCCTTGGCATGTGAGTCTTATTTCCCTACCACTCATCTAGAACCCCGCATTTTCTTTTCCGAGACGGTCACTGACCTGAACTTCTTCTCTCCGCCAGGAACCCGGACATTCTGGCACCGAAGGAGCGCTGCGCTTCTACCTCTAACCGCAACTTTGAGGGTCGTCAGGGCGCTGGAAGCCGGACTCACCTCATGTCTCCGGTCACGGCTGCGGCCTGCGCCCTGGTCGGCAAGCTCGCCGACGTCCGCGATGTTGCCAGCGCTGAACACGCCTCGCCTGCCAAGGCTTCGCCCAGGATCACTGTCGCCGACCCTGCTATGGAGGATATCCTCGATGACGAGGATCTGGACCGTATCATGGACGCCCCTGAAGACGGTTCGACCAGCGCCGCCGAGGACACCGGTGCTCCAGCCACCTCCGCAGGCATGCCGAAGTTCACGCAGCTCAAGGGCATCGCCGCTCCTTTGGAAATCGCCAACGTCGACACCGACGCCATCATCCCGAAACAGTTCCTCAAGACCATCAAGCGCTCGGGGCTAGGCACTGCTCTCTTCTACCAATGGCGGTACGAGAGCGAGACAGGCAAGGAAAAGCCCGACTTCATCCTGAACAAGGAGCCGTACCGAAACTCCAAGATTCTGGTAGTGACGGGTGCCAACTTTGGCTGCGGATCCAGCCGTGAGCATGCCCCCTGGGCTCTGCTCGACTTTGGCATCCGCTGCATCATCGCCCCTTCATTTGTAAGTCTCCGGCCTTATTTCTTCTTTTTTTTTTCGTCTTTTCTTCTTCTACTTCTTCTTGCTCCATAACCCCCGAACACAAGACTGACCTTTGCACACGACAGGCTGAAATCCACGAGACGAATCTCTACAAGAACGGCATGCTTCCGGTCGTGCTAGACCCAGAGTCTCTGGAGAAGATTGCCGTTGAGGCCAGAGCCGGACGTGAGGTCGAGGTGGACCTCCCCTCCCAATCTGTCAAGTCGGCCGATGGCGAGGTGCTAGCCACTTTCGAGATGGAGGGCTTCCGGAAACACTGCCTGATCAACGGTCTGGACGATATCGGTCTGACCACACAGATGGAGGACAAGATACGCGCCTTCGAGAAGCGCAGGACGCAGGAGACGCCCTGGCTGGACGGCACGGGCTATCTGAAGCGGAAGGGCCCGGTCATGGTGGAGGCCGCGCCAGTGCCCAAGACAAACCGTGGCGATGTCAAGGAGGATCCTCTCGAGTGGTAGCTGTGGGGTTCCTGGACTTTAATGTGATAGGTTGAAGATGCTTGGGGGCTGTTCGCTTTTTAGTTACGACTGCCTCTATGCTTGTTTGTAATTACATGACGACGGAAGAAGAAGAAAACACCGGGGATGGTTCTACATTACCAGGGGATCAGCAAAAAGTCGGAAGACCAGAGCCAAAACTGATATGTTGGGGGAATCATGAAGGAAAATACAGGAAACCATCATTTGGTAATTTGATATGGAGAAGAATCTCTTCGACACCCTTTTTTACTACCATCATACTTCGCTTCGAAAGTTGAACTTGCCAATAGCTTCTGTTCGTTTATTATGGAGTTGTCTACGTATTGTGGGATTAGACTGTCCATTCCCATAGAGTGGCTGCGGAGAATGGTAAGAGAAAAGCCAGGATGAAGGTAGTAACAGCGATCGATGCATGTGCAAGGGTAGAAATAATAGCTACCCATAATAGAGTAGGGGATATCAATGGTATCGAAAGGGAAATCCAGCAAAGTAAAGAATTAAAGAAGCCGAGAGAACGGCCACAGAGCAAGCGACAGCTACCGTGCCTTTAGGATGAAGACAGAGAGACCTTCACAGCCAGCACTTCACAAACGCGTGCTTCGGTGCCTTCTCCCACTCAGTTCACCTGCAGCTCATGGCATCAACACCACGCCCGACAATACCATTAGACCAAATCTCTCCAAGATGATACGTCTCCCAGAACCAGGTGTTTTGGATTCAATTCGAATCGAATCCGACCTCAACCGGTGGCTTTCGGTTTCCGTAGTCGGCACCGTCTACTTCTTGCCGAATAGCTTGAACTTGAGCTTGTCGGCCAGACCGATGTGGTGAATATCGCCGCCAGCAGGGGCTGCATCGGGGGAAGGGTTTGCGGACTCGGTGGGCTTGACTTCGTTGCCGGCGCCGCCCCGCCCGGTATGGTGCTCAGCGCCGTCGGTGGAGGCACGGTAAGCCGTGGGGGGGACGATATCCTTGTCAGCGCGGCCGGTTGCCGCGGACTTGACGCCCGCGTCGCCGATGTTTCCGGCACCTAATCAATCGGTTCACGTTCCAGGGTCAGTATCAATCGATGCTTGTACCGCGGAAATGGAGAGAGAAAGGACGCAAGGGGAGACCGGACGAGTCCAAAGCTGCGAGGAAGATGAGAGAGCTGCTAGTCAGACAGCCAGACAGCCAGCCAGCCAGTTTTGGGTAGTCAGCTTGGCGCCAAGTGGAGTCCGGGGAGAAGTCGAAGGCCCAAGCTCAAAGCCAGGACTACCCAGTTGATTACCCCCACACTCTTTTCGCGATCCCCCTTCTCCCATCACCCTGCCTGATACGGATACGCGCTTGCAAACGTGGGCGCGACAGAGCGTGGAGCGAGCACACCGGTCGATAAAGGTGTGGAAGCGGCCGGCAGTAGAATTGAGCGACTGGTTGACTGACTGGACTGGACTCGTCTGACTGACTGACTGACTGACAACTGGCGTCGATTCGTCCTCATCCGCATGCTTTGCGCTCGTCCTCTTCCTCGCAGTGGTCCAGCAATGAGAGGGAGGGAAAGAGGGACGTCTTCGTCACTCACCACCACGTCCTACACTGTAGGCGCCATCACCATGGCTACCCTCAGGGCCAGCCCGGACAACCGAGCCATCGGCGTAAGGCGTGTCATCGGGGTGGATGTTGCCCGCGCCACCACGGCCATGCGAAACCTCGGGGGTGGCCATCGTGTGGGGTGAGAAGAATGTCGGGGAGCTTGGGCCCTCGTAGGTGATGGATCTCTGTAGCTCAAGGCAAAAGCAAAAGCAAAAGACAATCAGAGCAACAGGCGGGTGACGAAGGACAGGAGGAAGAGGGAGAAATCAGACGACGCGAGATGAGTCTACCTTGGAGCCAGATGGGTGTTGTATTTAAGTATCTGTAGAAGCAACCACCCCCGGCCGCTGGTGCTGCCGCTACCTTACCCTTGATAAGCGTAAATAGTAAAGATAAGTCCCGACGACTGGGATCGGGAGCACACATGTCACTTCGACTTCCCCACCCCTGATCGTCTCGATGTTCTTCCCGTCCTAATTTATTATTACTGCCCACCCCGTTTTGAGCGATTCATACACACGCCCAGTATCCCCGTTCAGCGACCTTTCCCAAACAGGCCACGAAGAGTCACCGAAACCACAGAGGACTTAACTTCGGACTCTGTAGCTAACCACGAACGGCACCTTACGCTGCGAGCCAGCCGATCGCACACTACGTGTACACCATCGTGAAAGTACCCTGTACATGCGCCTGTCACAGCCGCACGCGGGATGTAACCACCTCAGGCACCCATCTCCATGAAAATAAAATTTACAGCCCTATTAGTACCTACCTACCAGTACCTTAGTTTTCCCAGCTTGGTAGCCTGGCCTTTCTAGTAGCTGCTGGCTATATGAGTAAGGTAAGGTAGACCACCAGATTCGTAGTACTGGTGCTCTGAAATTATACGACGACCATCGAGCTAACCGATTCTCTATCTCTCAAGCCCGCTCAACTTCTGCTGGACTAGGAGTATGCCAAGAACAGATGACCACAAACAGACCTATTCGCACCCATCTCACTATATGTACCTTATATCGGACGTCCTATGTGATTGGTATCCTGGTGTTACCTGTAATTTAGCCCAGTCGTGCCAAGTCTCGATCCGTCCGTGACGTAATATCGGTACCTCATGATCCACGATAACACGCTGATAACCTGTTTTGAGTGCATCTGATTCGTCCGTCCGGTCGACCCCTGATCAATAATCCGTACACATCTCTGTCCGTCCCTTATCTACAGGTACGAGCGCTGCGGCTGTGTCGACGGTGTCGACGGAGTGCGCTCCAAACCTATGACTGAGTTGCCCGGGGCAAATTGTTATTCATTTACTTTTCATGTAATATGGTCGTATGGTCATATGGTCTATGTATATGTATGTATATGTATATGTACGCTCCAACCCGTGTTTAATTGTGTGTAGTGTACTTGCGGATCCGAATAAACCAATAGTGTCACGATAACGAGCGGAGTAAAATACAACTACACGTGTAGATACATCGACAGCAGCGATTTTCTATATAAAATACAGGGGTTGTATGGTATGTCTCATCATAATTTATCCTCTACCTACCCGGGTAGGGGTGGGTATAGGTCAGAGCTCGAACAGAGAATTTTGCACTGACCAGAGCCAGGACAGAGATATCGCTGTCAACATAATGTTCTAAGACTTCGGACATCTGACCAGTCCATCGAGCTCTGACCTATAACCAGCCAAACCCGGGTAGGTATAATAACTTCTCAACAGTCGTCGTCCTCGCACGACGCACAACTCGAAGAGTCTACAGATAATCTAATAGAAGTCTTGTTCGTATCTTGTCCTATCTATTGCCCTCCCTCCCCTTCCCAGGTCAAAGAGAAAAGAAGAAAAATATATCAGCTCTCCGGGATGCTTTCCGTTGTCTGTCTTCCCACCCCTGTTCTGAGTGCTCATGTTACACGAGAATCCTCACTTCCAAACCCATCCAACTCCATTCCCACAAGCCTCGTCCCTCTAGTCTTGGACCCGCAGGGAGGATGGTCAAACCTGCCTAACGCCCTCGGTCCATGCCAAGAACAACAAAAGGCGAGGTCAAAACAATAAAGAAGCCAAATCGAAAACGCTCGCTTCATGCCATGATGTCTCTCTATCAGCCGGCCAATTTTCGCATCTAATCGGGCAGTGCAGTGCGTCTTGCCTGCTATGCATTGTTCAGGCTGCTGCAACACAGTCTTATACTTTTTCTCTTTTTTCTTGTTCAAGATTTGTCCATGTCGATTAAACACAACAAAGGTCTCGAATCCCTCAGGGAGGCGTCAACTGGTCCTTCATCATTTTCCGGACCTCCTTCTCCAGGTTGGCCTCGGCATTCTTCGACATCTCTTCCTCTGTGGCGCCCGTGACCTTGTTGGCCAGCTCGACCTTCTTGGTACAAGCTTTGTAAATGAGCTCCTCGATGGTGTGAGACGTTAGGAGGCGAATCACCTCGACCTCTCGTTTCTGCCCCAGACGATGAGCTCGGTTCTCCGCCTGGATGTCGTCCTGGGGATTGTCCGACTGGTCGAAGATGATGACCTTGTTTGCCGACGTCAGGTTGATGCCCGTGCCTCCCGCGCCCGTCGTCAGGAGAAATGCGGTGATATCCTTGTTCTCGTTGAACTCGTTGATGAGATTTTGTCGCTCGTCAACGCTGGTCGCACCGTAGAGGACGCAGTGCTTGACTCCGTCGCTGAACAACACCTCGCGGAGAATCTCAATCACCTTGGCGAACTTGCTAAAAACCAGGACGCGGTCTCCGTTTTGTTCGTACTTGTGAATCAACTCGAGCAACTTGGTAACCTTGCCGCTTTCCATCCACGACCTATCAGGTACGTCGAACTCCGCCAGGCAAGGGTAGTCCCGGCACCACAAGTGAAGCTCAAAGTCGGAGCAATTCTTCAATTCACCGATCAGATGGTGGAGATGTGGCTGTTGGAGTTCTGTTTGCGGGACTTTCCTCATTAGGACCTTGGCCATGGCCTCGACCTTCTTATCGTCAAAATATCGACGGAATAGTTGAGGGTGGACGGCCGCCTTGCGCAGTTGTATCCAGGGGTTGTTCTGGTCATTCTGCCGGGCGTTGGCCTTGTTCCGCGTGCTGGGTTCCGACTTGAATAACTTCTCGTAGCTCTCGTAAAGGTCCTTCTGCGCGGGGGCGAGGTCACAGTATACCACATTGCATACCTTGGCCGGCATGTCCGTGACCACTTGGTATTTGCGTCGCTGCAAAATGAACGGCTCGAGAATGTTGCGAGCGCGGTTGACCCGCTCGCCGTAAAGGAACGCACCGTTGTTGACGTCCCGAAACGTCACCTTTTGGCTGAACATGTACTGTAGGTGCTCCATGTGCGGTTTGAACATCTTGGGGTCGATGAAGTTCAGGAGTGCGAGCATCTCCATCAGATTGTTCTGCACCGGCGTGCCCGTGAGAAGCATCCGCCACTGTGCCTTGATCCGGATGAGGTCCTTGTAGATCTTGGTCTTCGGATTCTTCATTTTGTGGCCTTCGTCAAAGATGGCCGCATTCGGCCGGAGCTCGGCAAGAGCTTCAATGTCTTCTTCCTTCCCAACTTGCGAGTAGCTAGTAAGGACAACGTGGTATTGCTCGGGATCCGAGAGCATCTCTTCGGCGATGTCCTGCCGGCGAGGTCCCTGATAGACAAGAACCGACAGATCTGGGGCGAATTTTTCGAATTCTGCCTCCCAATTGGAGAGAGTGGACGGTGGAACAACGACAAGATTGGGCCAAGGACGCACAGCATCTCTGTCCTCGTCGTAGCTCTCGACAAAGTGAGCAACGAGAGAAATGACCTGGCACGTCTTGCCCAAGCCCATCTCATCGGCGAGGATGCAGCCGTAACGGCTCTTGTAGAGGAGCGACATCCAGTTGAGGCCGTACAGTTGGAAAGGACGCATTTCGCAGTGACCATCCATGAGCCGAGGCTGGCGGGGAATAGGAGGGTCCATGTACTTCTGGCCCTTGAGGCTATTCGGCGTCAGGGGAAGTTCCGGGTCGGACACGGGCGGAACGCTGCGTTTCTGGCCCTTGAAATCCAGATCCCACTGGCTCGTCTCGTCTTTGACGCGCGAGGCATTGCGCTCACACTCAGCCACGACGTCGTCGATAGCATTTGTGGCCTTGGTGAACTCCATGATTGCTTCCACCAGGACCTCGCCGATAGCGAACTTGGCAGACTTGCGACTGCCTTTCTTTGGGACCGTGACCCGCTCCACTTGAGGAATATCATGAAACGGCCTCTTGCTGACAATTGCCTTGAGCTCATCTTGCTTCATGTTGGTCATGGCGGCAAGGTCTTCAATTGGAACCATATTGATAGTGTTCAACGCCTTATCCTGGAGGCTCTCCTTGGCAGACTCAGCAATCTCGCCTCGCATGTCGTCGTAGTCGTCATCTTTATCATCAGAAAGGAGGATATGCTCATGGGCTAGCTCATCAATGTCGGCAAAATCTTCAATCGCGGGCTGGGCCACGGGCTGAGAAGGTGGGGTCGGGGATCTGTTGGGGCGTCGTCCCTGCACAAGGCGGCGTCGGGGCTTCGGTTTGGTCTCCATTGCGGGAGCCGAGGCGAAATGTTTGCTAACTTTTGAGGACACCGGAGCGGAGGGTTTTGCCGGCTTCGAAGACTCTGAGGTTTTTAGGTGGGAGGAGCTGGATTTATTGGGCACAAAATTCAGCCTGTTCAGATGCTTGCCTTCGACCAGATAGTTAATCGCATCGTTGACATTGTTCTGACAAGCTGCCAGTGCCTCCCGGCAAAGACGCCTAGGGATGGTATGGCTCAGTGCATCGAATACAGAGTCGACCTTCTCCTGCAGTTCGTCAACCGGAACGTAGGAGAAGGCCGAGACATGTTTCTTAAACGCTGTTGGTCGAATCTCGCCTCTAGTCGCTTTGGCCTGATCCTCATCGTCGGACGAGATGAGGACTGGTTCAGCTGCGGGCCGCTTGATGCCCCGCGATGCTGTCTGAACTGCCGGGGGGGGTCTAAAGGAGGTGCCAGCCGGTGCGAGCCGCGAAGCGAAAGGTGCGGTGGACCTTGGGGGACTCGACCTGGGGTCATCGGGTCTAGACCGGAAGGGTGACGATGCAGGCACCTCGACAATACTGCGAGGAGTGACGGGAGAAGACACGTCGGCGGATTGAGGAGCAAGGGTGGTGCGTGGTACAATCTGCGTGACCTGCGTAACATAGGGGGAGCAGGGCACAGTATCGGTGGTTAATTCGTCCATATCGTCGAGTGAGGTGTGGTGATGGGACAGGGTACTTCGGTTGCCGGCCAAGTCGTTAGGTAGACGAAGAGGAGAAGAAGAGAAACCAGCCATGATTGAACACCAGGCTGGTAGTTGTGGAAGTGATGCTATGCCAAGTTTGGCTTCGCATTGAGCAAGAAGGGTTCGAGGGAGGGTGGACAATATGTGTGCGTGTGTGATAGTGAGGAAAAATTCTATAGTTCGAACAAGGGAAAAGAAAGCCGGAAAAACTCTTTGTCGCAAAAAGAAAAGAGAGTATGTGAAAGAAAGGACTGCGTCTTGAACGAAAATGAGGAGAAGAAAGCAAAAAGGTATGTTCTATCAGCAGAGAACAGGCACGCTAATGTTAAGACTCCAATAAGCCTCCTGCCTTCTATTTTCAAGGAAGGAGGAGGTGGCCGTTAGATTTTGGAGGTTCGCGGGGAGACGCGCTCAAGCCTCCCCTCTTGACGCGCGATAACACGTGACCTCCTTAGCCTCTTAAGTGCTTGTTTAAGTAAGTAAGCCCCACTACCTTCTTAGCCACCTACTAAAATGTATCCAAACAAAGCTGCATATCTCCCTTGAACAATGGTGTGTCTTTTCAAGAGGGGTGTGAATGAAATTTTAACACAACGCTTCCTGCTATCAAGAAGATCCAAGTAATTCAAACATCAGTGTTTTACTAAACTGTAAGGGATATAGAAACCAGCCATCTCTTACTTAATAAGGGACTTATTAACACCTGTAATCAGACATCTCTTCTGCGCCCCTTCCAACAGACAAGACACTCTTCTCACTAGCAACGAACCTGAGTTATCAAAATGGCAACACGACGCATCATCTCAACAGAGAAGACTATCCTCGACCAGGATGATCCGTCCAGACCCGACCAAGCCGATAGCCCCAAATCCGACATCACCCCAGCCGTTCCGACAGATGTAATCCTCAAGCTTCTGGGCTTCACTTTCGCCATGATCGTCTTCCCAATCGGTTCCTACTTTGTGACAGTCGACACAATCTTCAAGGGTAGGCAATGGTCTCCTCTGGTCCCCTTTCGTTTGGATTCTATGATCCGATGCTCATGCCTTGACCCAATATTGATGGATGATGCCCCCCAAACGCTAACGAGTATGCAAATCTCAGGAAACTCGACATTCGCAGGGGGATTCGCGGCCGTCATGGCCAATGTTGTTTTAATCGCCTATGTCATCGTCGCAATGAGAGAGGATCAAAGCGAGCGTCACCAGCAGGGGAAGCCACCCAAGGGGGCGGAAGCAAAGAAAGACCGCTAAGCTCAACTTTCTTCTGCTTTCCATTGGTCACGATTTGTGGGCTTTTGCTGAGTTTGTCTTCAGTCTATGCATGTTATATTGATTGTCAACCCCTCCTTAAGAGAGAAACAGGAGAATATGCTCTCTATAATCCGTGGCTGAGGTGTTATTTCGGGGGGGGGAGGGGGGGGTGGAAGTAATTACTTGTGTGTCCACGGTTACCATCAACTTTTTTCGCCCTCTCGACTTTTTTAATATCGTCGTCGGGCAGAATATCCCGTCATCGGTCATACAAAAAAAAAAAAAAAAAAGGGAAAAAAGTAAAGAAAAGTAAAGGAACTCCTCCAACGCCAGACGCGGGCAAGATCTCTGTCACCACGTGCACCGTAGTCCACGGGGGAACCCCTATTTCCCTCTGTATACCGAAAGCTATATTTTCCTTCCAAAAAGCCAAAACCAGGGGTTCGACCGAATGCGAATAGAGCCAAGCTACCTGCCAGGGCAAGAGAAGCTAGACACGGCGCACCAAAGTGCCGCTGCAAAGCGCAGGTGCATGCGGATATCCCGCAGAGAAAACGGAGCCAACACCATGTACTAAGAATCCGCTTGTGCTGTCCTGAAATCCAATGAGAAATCGAATCATGAATTCTTGCTGAAGCGGCGTGAGAACCAGCTCTTCCTCTTCTCCGTCGTATCGGACCGCTGGAGGGCGCTCGGTTTCCGCAGCAAGATACTACCGCCGCTGCTGCCACCGCCGACATCTTTCCGAGGAATCGCTGGCGGGCTCGTTGTGTCACCGTGGTTCTGGCTCTGGCTCTGGTTCTGGTTCGGGCCCAGAGGAGCCAGTTGGGGTACGGCGCCGTTGGAGCCAGGAGCCCTTGGCCCGCTGCTTACCGAGAAGGCGGGTGGTTGGTAAGTGGTCGCAGGTTGACTGAAACCGATACCGTAGTCATTGATCCGTTCCCTTCGTTTGGTAGGGGACGGCCGATCGATGGAACTGTTCTCGCTGCTAGTAGGATCCGTCTGATAACCGGCCTGCTCAGAGCTGCCGCTCCCGGCTGCCGTAGTTACTGTTTCGTAGGATCGGTCCTTATGCGGGAGGGGATAGACGTTCTGGTGATGACTGCCATCACCATGGCCCCTGGCCGGTTCTGAGAGCATTCGGGGAGTCCTCTGTCGGCTTGGTCCTGGTCCGTAGCTTCCTCCGCCGTTTTGGTTCATGGACTCCAATTGACCCGATCGGTTCGAGTTCGAGTAATTGTAATCGAGGTGGGTACTTTCGGGTCGCATTGATGCGGGGCGACCAGCGTAGTAGCCATCGTGGGCGGACCGAGACCCATGTGCTAAACCGGCCGTGTCAGGGATGGGGGTTCTTCTTCTTGGGACACGGACGCCTCCACGCCAGAACTCACCACCGGCATAGTAGCTGCTCCTCCGGTTCCAGTTCGCAGCCGCGTCAGTGTCTGCTTATTGTTCTGTTAGATACAAGGAGTCCGTCCGGCTGGGGTGCAGGCCAAAATTACCTGGACGGATATAAGACTTGCGCGAATAGCCACCATCGATCGCGGCCTCGAAGCTACGGATGGTATCCAAAGGTCGTTCCCAGCGGCTACGGGTGGGATTGGATAGGTCGGGTTCGGCTGCAGTACCGCACCAGTCAGTCAGAGCTGCCTTACCAACAATCGTGTGCGGAACAAATATAGATGAAGACGTACCAATTGGGTTCCCAAAAGAATCTCTATGCTGGATGGCGCGGAGAGGGGCCAGGGACGACTTGGTCATGGCCTGGACGGCGGCTAGACACGGCCGAACCGCGGCGTTAGATAACAACAATCTAGGTATCAAGCAAGCAGCACAACGAGCGCAGTCGACTCACCAGGCTCTGCTTCGCTTATGGCCATGGTAGGATCTGCCTTGCTATGCAGGCGGTTTGCTTCCTTCTCGGCCGAAGTCTCATGCGTGTTCGGCCTAGTACGAGTATAGTCGTCAGAGCTCTTGTGAGATTTGTTGGAGTGGAAGCTCCTGCTCCTCGCCTTGGGAGTCGAGGCGGTGTGGGCTGGACCAGGCGGCCGAGCTTGGTGTGATTGCTGAGGGAAGTATTGATCGCCGGCCGAGCCGTCAGGGGAATGCTGCGACTGCGGTGAGGTGTGCGTATTGTGCGGTTTATCGTAGGGACTCTGGTGGTATGGATCCTGTTGGGCGGGAGGAGGAGGAAGGGGATGGTGACGGAACTGGTTCTGCTGGCCGCTCATTTTCTCGGACAGGGGCACCGGGGGGCACCTCTTTATTATTATTAGGCTGAGACCTTGACGGGGCAAGTGGGCCAGCAAGCAAGCTCTAGGACCAGGTGCCAGGAGAAAGATGGTGGACCGCTGCAACGGGATGGGGGCACAGGTTGGGACTGGGAGTGCGGGTGGTTATCGTGCACGTTATCGAGCTGAACCAGGGGGGTGGGAGCCGATGCCAACAACTTCGAAATCCAGCGACCGACGGCGGTTCCAAGACGCGACGTTGAAACGAGTCCAAATTGTCGGTCTAGGGGATCGTAAATTGAGTGATCGCGAACGAACGTTGGAATATCGATTAGTTGATTCGCTTTTCCTGATCTTGTAAAACGTCTGCCGTATGGTAAAGAACGGAGTAGAAAACAAAGGACCAATGTGTGGGATCGAGGTGGTTGTATCCCTGATTCGTACTTTTCGTACTTTGATTACTTCGTATGGGGGGAAAAACCTGACGGGTCCAGGCTCGCGTGGCTGGGGGGTTGCGTTGCCAAGATGATAATAAGTGAGGTGACGTGACGTGGACAGGGGAAAGCGCAACAGAACCAGGACAAAAAATCGATGAAGATGGCGACAAGCGATTCTTGAACAGGATCCGTCTGAAGCAGAGTTGGTCGAGCGGGGCGCGCTAATGTACCGATTGTCGTAAACACAGGCGAGCGACGGGGGAGTCCCCTGTTTCAGTTAGGTGGCGTCAGTACCTGGTACTTCATAAGGCCTCGGAAGGCCCGCTCTAGGCTGTTCCTCGTAAGCCGCCGAATGCAGCAGGGGATGAGCCCAGCCTCCTGAGCGGATATTGGAACAAAACCAATTATCCTTCTTATAGCGATTAAAATCTAACGGATCTGCTATCGTCGCCCTGCAAGGTCAACAACAAGCTTTTCCGTTGCCCTTTTGTAAACCTTGTTGTGACAATATATATACGTTCACAATGGTCGTTGGTGACCTTATCGAGGACGCCGTCGCTTCTTTTGCTCCGAATCCGGTCCTGAGTGGATGTTGCTAACTTGTAAATGTCGCAGAGGAGGAAATCCCCGCCGGAGTGGCTATCTCGATTTGCTCCGGATCGTTACTATTACAATACCAACTTGATGCCGGGTGTTAATTGCTGCTGATTCCCGTTTCGTCGAAACGTAGCTGGAATGCTGCCAATGGGTATCGAACAAAAGCACCCCAGTCTTGGCCCCCGGGCAACCTGTGCGGAGCGCACAAGGTATGGCTTAAGAGTTGAGGGTCAGGAATGGAAATAAGTTGTAGGTAGAGGGGGTGGAGAGATTCTGAAATTCGTTTAACCAAGAGCCTTGTTTTCCTGGTCTTGGTTTCTGACCGAGGATTCCGAAGGTTGGTAAAGTTAATAGCACCCTGCCGAAAAGCGAAGTGTCTTATCTCTTTCCCGTCTTCTGCAATAGATAACTAGGCTCTTCCAAAAAAAATCCTTTCTTTGCGGGCTGCAGAGAGGACCTTTCTTCAGATGTCCGGCGAGTCGCGACCTGTGCCCACTTAGCTGTCTAGTGTGTGCGTGTGTGCGCTTGTGTATAAGCGTCTCAGACTGGTCGTATCCACGGGCAAGAGAAGAAGGCTCAAATATAGGTGTGGTGGCTATGGTCGATTTTTTGCGGCCCCATAAGAATCCCATCCGGTACATTTATTTCTGTGGTATCCGTGTGCATGTGCACTGGGAATATACTCGTCAGAGAGGGTGTTTTTCTGCCCTAATAAGATGCTAGGAAAGGCAAATAAATGCTGACGCGCCGACATCGAAAATCTCAGACTTCAGAACACCATAAATAGCAAAACCTCCTTGCCGGGTTGGCCACAGTCGTCGGCGGTAATGTTTTTATAGGGGAATAACGTAGTGGCGTATACGAATGCGCTTTGGTCCTGTGGTTGTCCTAGGGGCCATTCGTATCTGTCAGCCAACGGATCCTATTATTCGAGTTCACCCTATAACTATTCCCAGTGTATGGCGCGTATGCTTTGCATGAGGTGGTTTATGTTGCTGCTTCAGCAGTCTGTCCAATGGCAGAGCTCCTTTCCCACATTAGGTACTATCATAACGCTCCGGTGAACGTTGCAGCCGCGTTGCATGTCCAAGCCACGACGAACAACCCAATAGCACCATGACAACGGTCGGGTGGAAATACGGAGTACCAATAAATATCGTATAAGGCAGTCGAAGCTGATCAAAAGGGGAGCTGTCTTAGTAGGTACCTTATTATTACCCTAGGAAGCAGGAGCCAACGCCTACCTAATAAGTACTCCGTACAAAGCAAGTACCAGAGGTGAGTTCCTAATAATCAATCCATCCAAACTTCCAGAAATACGATGCATACCGAAGGTAACAACAAGGGGCATTGAGCTAAAAGATGGGGACGGGCTTACACCTGTCGTGTCCGGCAATTTCGATAGGGATGAATTATTGGAGTAGTTGGACACATGGATTTTGGAGGTGGGAAAACGGTGCTAATCAGCAACGAGTGGTTTGGATGGTTCGGATTCGACTAAGCTAGGAAAATAGAAGAAGCAGCGTTCGCGAGGCGAGGGCGGACAGAAAAGAAGACAGAACGAATGACCAAGAGAGTGAGAGCGAAAGATCGAAAGCGATATCCCCTCACGAACACGACACACCCACCGAGCATGACGACCACTACCACCGTTGCAACACACTACCCCTACAGCTAGGCAATCGGACGATTTTGTGTGGTCGATATCTTTCCAGAGATGACGATTGTCAGACTCCTACAACGTACACCTAGGTACGTACCTTCGGTTGCCTGTCGAAACTTACAGGTTCTTATAATTACCTAAGGTACCTACCTTAGGTACCTTACGGTTTGATATATTTTCCCCGTACCTAGATCTGGGAGGTACAACGTATCTCGAGACAGCCATATCACACCGCTAATACGACACCACGCATTGTTGTTGTTGTTCTGTTCTCTCCTCTCACCGATACTGCGACCGAACGCCTGTACCGAGATTGGTATTTTCAAATACAAAGTCCTCCGATGAATGATGAATGCAGGAGTTGGGAGTCGATTGCTGACACGTTGTACTCCGTACAACGTATGACGCCCAATCTATTATTACATTACGTACGGATACATCCATTTCCATGTTTGGTCAGCGAGCCAACTTTGAGCCATTTGCCCGATGGACAACCAAGTAAGGTATCCCGTCTCTACGTGTACGGTGTATATACACCAGCACACGGCGAGAGCTTTTGATTAGGCGGACTCGCGGTTTGGCATCGATATAAAAGCGCCAACTACCTACCATTAACAAAAGTAGGTTGTCACCGGCATCTATGGGGTGATTACCTGCGTCCACTACTGAGACAGACAGTGGTGTTGTTCTTTATGCGGTGCTGCCCTATTTCCTCCATCGCACAGAACCTGCCACTCCTCCAAAAGGACAAATGGAGATCCCTCCCTGATCTAAGGCTTCCGGTGGCTGATATAGTGCGACACCGTCTCCCTTTGTGGTCGACTTTTGTTTCACGGGTTTCCTGCTTGGCCGTTCGCATGCCAACGGCCTTCCTTCTTTGAGTCAAAGCACACCAGAGGTGTTGCGATGGACAGATACCTAAGGTAGTACTGACCCCGCACAACCCGTCTACCTGTCTGACGTGTGCAGCCGGGTTTCCCTGACAACCTGGACCACTCGATGATCCATCTGCAATTACGTGACCTAGCCGATCCAAACTTCGTCAACCGTCTTTACACTCACTACCTTACGTCTTTTACAGAGCCATTTGACATCAGATCCTACATTCTATGAATTCACAGAAAATTGCCCAGGCAGAAACGCGGATCACCAGGACGAAGTTCATACATCGTGTTGTTGTCGTGATTGTTGCGACCTAGAGGCAAATTCTTCAAACTATCCTTTAGCGGAACGAGGCAAAGATCCTGTCCTCCCTCATCAAAATACCTAGTGGCCTAGGTGGATCCATGTACACCCAAGCGAGGAAGACCCAGGAAGTGATGCCGCTGCCTAGGAGTGAGAGGAAGCATCCACGCCCCCTGAATGGACTTTATCCGATGATCACGTAGGAGAGCTGCTGCCGTTCCGCTGAAGGCGTTCTCCGGCTGGGATAGAGATAGAAAAACTCGACAAATGAGGAGACCATGCACTAACTAACCATCAAGGACAAAACAAATCTGCTGTGACCGCCCTGCCTTACCGAAGTGTTGTTTACCTAGGTATCGCACAGGTACGCAACGGAGTAGGCTCGGTGGCAAATACGAGTTCATGATCCATCGAGAATGCATGCGGCCTGCTAACCTGGATGAGTTTGTCCCCTGAGGAAAACAACGCGTAAGCTTAATTTACTCTAATCCTCACTAAGAGGGTCCGATTCGTTAGGCTACCCAGTTTCGAACGTGTAATACGTGGCTGAGCGCTGCGTCCGTCGCCGCCTACGCCTGGCGCATCAGTCGAAAAACAACGTGTGGTAATCCCGAGTACGTCGCTCTGACTCGAGCTTGTACGCTGTGACTGACTTCTGCTTCGCAAGATGGGATGTCACAAAAGCCCAGATCTCACTGGATAAGTTTTCACTGAGTATACATTGCCGCGCAGCAGTCATGATTGACTAGGTGACACAGGGATGCCATTCATTCTTCTAGAGTCTTCCGAGTTCTTCTTGCATAGCAGGCAACCCCCGAATATTCCCTCTCGGTACGGCATTACGGTTGGACATGCTCATTCCAAGTAATGTGTCGTTTCCTAGCTCCCTGGGCTCCCTGTCGAAACACCAAGAACCCGAGGAGCCTCAACCCTCAACCAACCCTCTGCCATGTGTGGCCAGCTCAGATCGGACCTATACCTGGGAGTACAACTTTTGAGTGAGTACAGATGCTAACCCCTTAGGCTCTTCCAGTTCTATCCGTGCAACTAAATGCTTCGGTGAAGCACTTCATATAGCACCCATGACACCACACCACTTGTGTTCTCAGCAGCATCCACTTGACTTTCTGCGGCGACAACAGCTACTAGTCACGACAGCATGGTCTAGCTTTGGGCAAAACTGGACATCAAGTGCGGCGAGCCAGAGCGGCCACATATCCTCTTCTCGGGCCTCTAATCCCCATGGCTTCCGAATCAAATCCGTGGTGAGTGTGGGGGGCAGGTATTTACGAGCTCTGCACTCAGCCGTCCCGGTCAATCCAGGACATGTACTGTATATTCTCCTCGCCTCTGTGTGAACATTCAGTCACATACATGGCAACTACGGTCTCAGTAGCCAGCATTCTAGCTAGGCAACACAGCTGAAAACCGAGATACTGCAGCGCTTGATTGACGTTCAGGCTGACACTGACGCTCACTCAGGCTGACTTGCCTTGGACTCCAAATGGCACTGAACACAAGTGATACCGTCGCTCTCCCGTTCAGGTCGGATGTACAACAGTGACCCAGGACCACATTACACCGCAACAGAACTCCGCAACTTATTGAGCCCTGCTGTGTGTAGTCGACGGCCAGAATACGACGAGACACAGTCTTACGCGCCGGCCACTGTTCATGATGCTCTCATCGAGTGGGAAGGGTCCATTTGTAGTCGCACTGATACACTGATAGCTCTCCCCACCAGGACACACGATCCCGAGGATCCAGCCAAAGCTTCCTTTGCCGCACTGCTGGGACAAGGGTTCTCAAGGGTAAGGCAGTGACGACGAAGTGCGGTGCTGCTTGAAGCTACGTCCCTGGCACCTCGGGCCCGTCCAGTATCCCCAGATGAGAAGGGGACCGGTCACACCGCAAAGCGCGGATTCCACTTCGTGTCGCAAACCCGCTTCGCATTGTCGCAATGTTGACGGCGGGAAGCCTGCGAAAATTTATGCCTGAAGGTCGATGAATCGCAACACTGCTCTCCTTTGCGATTCCGTCTGTCGCCCGTCCCATTGAAGCTGAGATGATCAGCGGTCCACGTCTGGCGGGAAAGGACCTCTGAAGGGGCCAGGTAGAGTGCAGTCGACCCCCCTATCACTACCCAGGGGTATCAAAATAACTCCTCATGCAACATTCCCGAGTGCCAGTCGTTTCGGCGAGTTCAACAAAGTCGTAAGGGCTTGAGGGCAAGACTACCACAGATGCCTAGCCAAACGTCGGCCACCGCAATATAAGTGATCTATGTTTTTTCTTTCTCATTATAATTGTATAGTAGTCAAAACTCCCAAATCCTCCACCAATAATCACAATGGACGTGATTGAAATAGACAAATAGCAATCGCGGTTGCCGCACATAGCGATGGGCTTTGGGACGGTGGGAAAGGTGGACCGAGGAATTCGCGAGAAATCATTTTATACCGCCCGAAAGAGTGACGTTAAATTGTGACTTGAATGCCGCTTAACCCCATTCCCAAGTACCGAGATTTCTATTTCGAGGACGGAAAACATCCGCATCCATCCTGTCCATTTCCTTTCTCGGTGTCGAACGAACCCCTTCGCGCCTGACACAGGAACCGGCAAGATATCACATGGACCCATTATCATCGCGTAGGCTCGCCCAATGGGAGATTTCGGGGGGGTATGTTGTTTCACAAGTTTAATTTGTTGAGCCTTAATCCCAAGGCTATGCTCTGATCCTTGACCTTGACCGATGCAGCCAGTTCAGAAGCCATCCACTCCAACTCCGCCCGAAACCATTTTATATCGACGAGGGGTAAAGCATGACGCGAACCGAGGCACCGAAAGACTTAGTGGGAAGGGGGTGGCGGAACTTCGCACGGACAACGCCCGAGTTGCCTGTCGCAATCGAGGGTCAGTGATCATAGTGGGCAAGCCCGAGCCGATGAGACCGGGCAGTGGCGAGGAGAAAATGGGAATAGGGGTTTAGTTACCGTGAGGGCGGGTGACCTTGCCCCAGATGACGCGGATCTTGGATCCACGGATCTCCTTCTTGGCCTTGTAGACGTACGCAACCTTCTTGCCGAGGTAGAAGCTGTCGTCCCTTCGTCAGCAAAACCGGTCCACCAAATGGTATGTGATGGAGTGCGCGTACTTGGCGGCGTCAATGGTGTCGACACCCTCAATCTTCACCAGGCTGGTCTGGGAATGGGTAGTGTGGCGGCTACGTTGGTAGGACAGGTGACGTCCCCTGGTACACTCAATCAGCTCCTGTCCATTGAATTCGGTCGGTCGTTTCTTCGCAAGGCGCTGTTCATCCCCGCCCTCTTTCCCAGTCGAGTCTCGATATCAAAATATCCCCCCTCCGAATGCGAAATCGACTTCCCCAAGTGCCGAATGTTGTACTCACTTGACGTATACTATCCAATATCCAAGTTAGCCAAATGTAAGTGGGAACAAGGAGAAAAAACAAGGGAGGAAGAAGCAGATTCAACAGATCTTTTGGCTGATCCTCGCCTGGCGACTGGAACACATGCTCACAATCGCTGCCGGCAAATGCGAAATAGGATGTGGGTAACTTACGTCGGTGACCCTGTTCTGAAGGCATCTTGACTATGTCGAGTTACCCTCACTCCAACCGAACCGGATAGGGTATTGGTATAGGAAGGTTAGAGAAATGCCGTCGCAGCAGGACAATTCTCCAGGGTTGACTTGCACGCCGATGTTGTCGTTGTCGTGATGTTTCCGTTAGTGGAAGAGATCCGGTAAGGTAGGGGTGCTGAGGGCCACTAAAATCTCGAGTGTGCCCTAAGTCAGGTGACCAAGTGACCACACACAGCGGTCGAAAAGTTGCATATTCTACCACCTCCCCAGCCACAGATATCTATTCTTATCTTATCTCGGACGTGGGGTTGTGGCTGAGTTGCAGCCCTTACCGCGAGGGCTGGACTTCCCCTCGATACAGTATGCGCATCCGACGTCATACGCCCGTCCCCATTCGCAATTACTTCGTTACACTCCGTTTGTATGGAGCTTCAAAGATCCCACCGGGGGGGGGGGGGGGGGGGGGGGGGGGGGGCGCGTGAGATGGGCTCCAATTCGCGCAAGATGAAATATCAACTTTTATACTGTCCACGAATCTTCCCTTCGAGTATTACATTCGCATACCTATCTGTACGGAGTATACACGTATGTCGTTCTCCCCCTACCAATTGGAGACGACTGCCATAATGGTACATCTGGACATTGTCGCATCCAGCAGTCGACTTGTTCACGAGCCCAGCACTTCGCAAGATTGGTTTTGTCGTTGCCGCTGGTCTCGCTGTGTTGCGCCCATCCCCGACCACAGGAACGTGGGGACGACTCGCAAGATAATAAACACCGACCACGGTTGTTGGATGCGAGAAAGGCTAAACTCTGGCTGGTTGGGTGACCCACTCTTTCCGGCTAAACTGGACATGCGAGCCGCACCAGTCATTAAACATCGGGCACTGTCACCGAATATCCCGCTGCGTGGTTTTGAAAGGTAGATGATATACGCCCGGGCCCATTCCAGCTTCTTTTCCCTCCATTCCTACTGCTAGCTAGTAGCGGGCGGTTCAAAACTGGAACTCGGGACCGGTAGCCTCACCGCCAGCAACATTTTGATGTCCAGGTATCGCGTCAACCTATCCGGGTAGCTGCTATATCGCAGCGCTCTCGGTTCGTTTCGAGAAGTCCACCGACGAATCTGATCGGCCTGCGAACGAAGTATCAGGCAGATCATGTTTATCCGTAAAGTAGGAATGAATTGGCAGTGACTCGAGACGGGACATTCTCGCCTTGCCAGCTGTTGCTTTTTATGTCCGAGAAGAAGGGGGGTTTGCTCGGTATTAGTCATAAAAAAGGACTGAACACAACGAAACTGGCTGGGAACAATTTGCCGGATCCACGGCGTCTATACTGAGTTGAAAATCGGTCCCGAGCCTTCACTCTGAAGGACAATCTACTCGAATCCTTTTAGTGCGCCAATATCCGCCGTGTCTTGCGTCTCCGTGTTCCTGCCAAGCACGGCGATGACAGATATGTATACACCGTAGTTACAACGGCAGCATACTCCTCTTGTACTATAAAGGATAGACGACGAACATGGTTCCGAATCTTACTCTGATATACGTCTTGTCGAGTGACTTCCTATCTTTCCCCATCGTCATTGGGACAACGCGAGCCAACATCCCCGTCTTCTTGTCTAATCTCCGGTTATACGAAGTAAAAAGAAAGGGGGGAGAGGAAAAGAAGAAACAAAGAAAGCTAGGTCATGAAACTCCAGTGCTCCATTTATACGCCAACGTCCCCCAACATCAGATGCACCATGATCCTCCACACCGGTCCGCATCCAAGGTAGGTAAGGTAGGTAAGCAGAGCTAATTATGTGACTCTTCTGGCACAATATGCTCATTTTCCGGGCAATATTCATGGGGATCTAGTTCCTCTCTTCGTGACTCCTTCCCTTCCAGGTTCACCTTCCCCCTCGTCCCCACCCACAGGTCGCTTACCTATAAAGCTCGGAACTAGCAAGCAAAGGTACGAATAGAAACACCACCTAGATGTGATTTAAGTCTAAGCACTTGCTCCCCAGGGGCTTCATATTTCCTGATCTCCTTTTTCGACCTTATCTCATCCTTAAACGAAGAAACGAAAATTCTACTTCTACCGCCTCTTTGAGGACGTCGTGAACTTGAACAACTTAATAATGCGTTGTCTTTTATTAGCAAAAAGGAGTGGTGGGAAGGCTAAATCCAAAACCTTAGGTCTTGTTTATATTAGCCATTGTCCGCTCATAAATCAGCCAGATGCGGGCTGTACCATTCTTGCGTGCGTTGCTAGCACAAATTCTTCTAACTCCGAAATCCCCTGACCCTGATGTTTCCCCAACAGCAGTCTTAGCTAAAAGCAAACTCGGCCTATGCAACCCATACCTCCTATTGGTGACACTCTTCAGCAAAAATTACCGAGCTACGGAGTACATTCGGAGTTATATCTAAGGTACGAGGCTAAGTCGGTCCAATATACCAGGACTTCTTATCCCCTTGACCAGGCCGGGAGTGTACGTACCGTACAGTTGAAGTGAACGAAGTGCGGCAGCTGCAATATGTGTGTAAGCTTCCCGCATGGACTTAGCGTCGAAAACCCGCTTCTCGGGGTACTACCGCCGACATCTAAGGTAAATTCTAACACAAACCCCCACCCGACACGGGTCGGTGGCTGCGAAGGCGAGGTCTGCGAGGTATCGCATCAGATCCAACAGATCTGCTATAACGTGGGCGGGTAGCGGGGCCCATCCCTTTTGCGGTTTCCCACTGCAGTGTAGCCGGAATGGTCGGACTTGCTGAGCATGGGCGAAGGATGATGCATCGGAGCCGTCGGCGGCGGGTTAAGTGGCCAGCGCCATTACCTACCACACCCCGCCCCGTCCGTAATTACCATACCTACGTTTATGGTCACTGTCTGTGGTGGCTAAGGTACTAAAAAGCTGTCCCCAACAGCCCCTCATTCCCTCATCATCTCGGCCTCCCCCACCCCTCCTGCAGACCCCCGTCATCAACGCTCCCCAATCCTACCAACTGGTCTCATTGACAATCTCGCCATCTATTTCCCTCAACAATTTCTTTGCAACTGACTTTCTTTTTTGTTTCTTTTTCTCTTCCATTTAGCAGAGCAAAACAACAGCCAGCACCTTAGCGATCACTATGAGTGAACTCGGAGCATCCCCAGCGTACGTGCTAGCTTCGACCATCCCCGAAAGAACCCCACCCGCTTCGAGTTTCCTCTCCTCTTGACAACCTTCTTTTCCCCCCCGCTTTCGCGTTTTACCCCCAACTTCTCAGAGGCAGCTCGTGTCGTCCGTCGTATGGGGCGCAGTCGAGGGCGCCACGCAGGGCCTCGTAGCTTCAAGAACAACACCCGGGATTTCTTAACATATTTTGCTAACAAGTAATTTAAATCTCTTCTTCTAGTGCGATGGAGCTGAAGGATAACACAATCATCGTCGTTCTCGGCGCATCCGGAGATCTGGCGAAGAAGAAGACGGTACTTTTCGCGTGCCCATTCAAACCTTCTCCGATGACGGCGAAGATTGCTGACTTCTCTTAGTACCCCGCGCTCTTCGGTCTGGTAAGCAATACACAATACTGCCTCAGCTTTGCGCCGCTCCCCTGCCGCGCCCGCCTCGCCCTGCTTAACCTCCATGGACATGACAATAAATCTGCGACCAAGACAAGTTAGTAGCCGGGATAGTCTGCTAACATGACTTCGAATAGTATCGCAATGGCTTCCTGCCCAAGGACATCAAGATTGTCGGCTATGCGCGTACAAAGATGGACCACGATGAGTACATACGCCGTATTCGATCATACATGAAGACGCCGACAAAGGAGATCGAGCAGCAACTTCACGACTTCTGCAACCTCTGCACCTATATTGCGGGCCAATATGACCGGGATGACAGCTTTCTCGAGCTGAACAAACACCTCGAGGAGCTCGAGGCGGGCAGATCGGAGACTCACCGTCTATTCTACATGGCCCTCCCCCCAAGCGTCTTTACCATCGTCTCTCAGCACCTCAAGAGGTGCTGTTACCCTAGCAACGGCATTGCCCGCGTCGTCGTATGTAGATGTCTATTCTTTCCCCCTCACAATCCCTGCCTGTCCCGGGACTCTCACCCTGTTCCGTTTCCCTTGCGCCCACTGGCTGACGAGTTTTGGCGGGCGCCCTCTAGGTCGAGAAACCTTTCGGCAAGGACCTCGCTAGCTCGCGGGAACTGCAAAAGTCTCTGGAACCGGACTGGAAGGAGGACGAGTTGTACCGCATCGACCATTATCTGGGCAAGGAGATGGTGAAGAACATTCTGATCCTCCGGTTCGGAAATTCCTTCTTTGGGGCCACGTGGAACAGGCAGAACATCGACAATGTCCAGATCACATTCAAGGAGCCCTTCGGCACCGAGGGTCGTGGCGGGTACTTTGACGAGTTTGGCATCATCCGCGATGTCATGCAGAACCACCTGCTGCAAGTATTGACCCTGCTCGCTATGGAGCGCCCCATTTCCTTCTCGGCCGAAGACATCCGTGACGAGAAGGTCAGAGTTTTGCGCGCCATTCCGGCCATCGAGCCTAAGAACGTCATCATTGGCCAGTACGGCAGATCTCTCGACGGCAGCAAGCCCGCTTACAAAGAAGACGACACCGTCCCCGAGGGCTCCCGGTGCCCCACCTTCTGCGCCCTGGTGGCGTACATTAAGAACGAGCGGTGGGACGGCGTGCCGTTCATCATGAAGGCTGGCAAGGCGCTGAACGAGCAGAAGACGGAGATCCGCATCCAGTTCAAGGACGTGACCTCGGGCATTTTTAAGGACATCCCGCGGAACGAGCTGGTCATGCGTATCCAGCCCAACGAGAGCGTGTACATCAAGATGAACTCGAAGCTCCCGGGTCTTAGCATGCAGACCGTCGTCACAGAGCTGGACTTGACATACCGGCGGCGGTTCTCGGACCTTAAGATTCCCGAGGCGTACGAGTCCTTGATTCTCGACTGCCTCAAGGGGGACCATTCGAACTTTGTACGAGACGATGAACTGGATGCGAGCTGGAGGATTTTCACCCCCCTACTCCACTACCTCGACGACAACAAGGAGATTATCCCTATGGAATATCCCTATGGTACGTCGAATCTGCTCCACTGTGTAAAATTCGGGGCGCGAGTGAGCCGAGTGAGGACAATACTGATGACAATCTGCAGGATCTCGTGGTCCCGCCGTCCTCGACGACTTCACTTCGTCCTATGGCTACAAGTTCAGTGACGCGGCGGGATACCAGTGGCCTACTACACCTGCTTCAGCGCCGAACAAATTGTAAGTGAGCAGGCAACCATATCACGCATCGCCGTTTTTGATTTCTTCTGCTCTCTTTCCGTAGATAGGGAATTGATACTCATCCACCTTTCTTTTCCCTGCAGCTGAGAACGCGTTCGCCCTACATAAATTACGAATTTCTTCCTTCGCCGAGTTCTTTCGATGCCCAGTGCCTCTTACCAGGGCATGAAATAAAGACTTTCTACGACACATTTCTACACACTCGGACGCGCACATGTCATACGGGGGTCGGTAAGCGGGTGGGATTGGGGAAATGGGTGCAATCCATTATGATGATATTTCTTGCGCATGTCTTGGTATCAAAGATGAGGGGGAAACTAAAAAAGAAACGAAAAGAAAAAAATTGTCAGCGCACTTCTCCATCAGTACTACGACACAATTGTCTGTGTAATCCATTGATGATATCGGACGCCAAAGTACTAGAGAAGCATGATGGGTAATTGATGCACTCGGCTCATTCGATTCCTCGCCTCCAAACATTGTGGCTTCTCTCGTCCTCCCCCCATTTGTTTCCTTTTCCCTTCCTTTCTTCTCTTCCGGAAATCACGACAAGAGAAGGCTGAAAATGACGCTGAAACGATCTTGTACAGACGGTTAATGGTCCAAGGTCGACGTTGGCAATGACGTTGGCGTTACACCCTTCTTTAACTGAGATGCAGGAGCTTAGTCCCGCGTAAAGGTGGTAGGGTCAGAGGGTCAGGTGTTGAGTTGAAGGAAGGAGGCTATTATGTTAGTCCTGCCATGGGGAGACGGAGATGGAATCGGTTCTCTCGTTGACAAAGGCCCGTACATAATTGTTTAGTACGCACAGTATTGATACTGTACGGAGGATATTCGGCCGACAGCTTCGAGGTCACATGACTCGGAATACAGTTAATGTGCGTGGGGTCGTCCACTGACCAAGATGCGTTCAGTTCGTCCGTGCCTGCCAGTACGTAATACAGTATGAAAGAAGAACCCCAGGAAGGTACGAATAGAATTCTTTCAGCATCTGAACGACCAACCGCCCCAGGAAGCGCTTCTTCCAGTTTCCTGTTCCCTCCCCAACATCTCTACCACCAACAATCCAACACGACGGAACCGCTCCCCCCCTTTCTCCCAACGCGCTATAACCGTCTAAAAGAGCAGCATCGGTACACCGGAGATCTTTTCCCCGGCCTGCTTGATGTCCCTTTTCGAGAGGCAGCAGCTCCTTTTTTCTCGACGACTCCCATCCCCCATCGTGCTCCTTCCCGACTACGGTTCTTCGCTGGCTCGTCTCTCCCACTTGTCAACAGCCCCTAGCATAACCACAGAATATTTACCTCTGATTACGATATCGTTTTCCGACACCTTAACTACATCGATACTGTAGCCTTTTGGTTGGTCAGCAGACCTGCGATTCGCAAAGTTCTTCGAACAAATCCAGAGCATCTTCTTCTTCCCACGCGACGCACGCGCATCCGGCGACGAGTGGACCGAGGCTACACGAAAATTCGTCATCCCATTTAGTGCCTGGGACTCATATTCCAATTGCAACAAGGCGCTCATGCGATAAGGGAAGAGCTCATTCTGTGTCGTGTCGGCGAATCGGAACGTTTCGGCTAGGCAGGCACTGGGGCTCGGCAACACAGCAGGGCCGACAGCTGGGAGGAAGGGCGTCGCTTTATGCCGGGCATCGTCGCCATGGAAAACGGTGCTCATAATGGGGGACGCTCGGATCACGATAGGGATCACAAGGCGAACGGGCGGTTGTCGGGTGGACGCGAGAGCAGTAATCCCCCGACCGACAAGGGCAAGGCTGTCGACTCGGCGTCAGGTTCTACATTGAACGGAGCAAAGGATGGAAGCACACAGCCGCCCAAACCAAAGGGGAACTCTGATGGACTGCAAGGTACTGTCGCGTCGAACCGCTCGAGGATGAATGACCTTCCCGACGAGATTGTCCACATCACCCAGGGCTTCATCCCGCTATCGACTATTCTCGTGCGCCTTGCCCAATCTACGCATGACGACCTGCAAAAAGCCATCATGGACGCGGCCAGCGTTAAGTGGATGCCCGTGACCATGAACGGCAATGCAGCGAACGGAAGCGACTTGCCCGACGATACCTCGGAAGGGAACCGCAAGAGGAAGACGACGTTACTCAAGTTCGCCCAAGATGCACACACGAAATGGGTCAAGGCTCTTGTCATTACCGATTGGAGCAGAAAAGCTGCGACAGTGAGCAAGCTGATCGATCTCAAGGCCCATTTGGACGGGAAGCGCATGCTCTTCGACATGACTCTGAACCAGCTCATCGAACTCAAACTGTCCCTGAACCAGGCGAAATTGCCGAGCCCAGACCTGAAGACTGCCTTGCAAATTCTGACCACCGGCGAGGCACCTTGGATTCCAGAGGTAGGGGGTTTTCTTTTTTTTTTTTTCTTTTGTTTTGTTGTT